CATGTACGTGTGCATGTATAGTTTCCATTGAAAAACCCTCCCTTCCAAAAAGTTCATTGATTTGTTCTGAATTGTACCCACTTTGTAATTGTAAGCGGAACCCAAACTCCAGAAATTATATTTCATATTTAAAAAAATATGTAGCACCAAAAAATAATAATGACTGGAAAGCCAATTTCATAAGCTACTTTTAGATGAAAAGATTACTGAAATTGCTCAATTCGTTCAAAGAATATCATCATTTTCATCTACTTTTAGATGAAAAAGTTGTTATCTTCATGTATTAGGCCTACATGCATTACTTTTACTTTGTGTTATACAAGTGTTTAAACTCCAAAGTCTCTCTGTATATTTAATGTAAATAATAGGAACCAATTTAATATTGCAATAAAGCCGAGCATGCAAGGAACGAGTTTTGAGCAATGTTTTCCCCCCATATCTGTATAAGAATAATTTGGCCAGTTTTAAGTTTTAACGACCATAATATGCAGCATAAGCTCGGCAATGTCATTGCTTTAAAAATAATAAACAATTAGAGGACATTAATTAAAGGATAATACATATTATCATCTCCGGATATGTTTTTCCCTGGTCAGATTCGACTTGATGAAGTTTACAGCTGATATAAAAAAAACATTGGAATATATATACGACAGCTTCACTTCCCGTTTATAACACAAAATCCTTCATGGATTATCAGCGAAGACTTGATCATTCTCCCTTGCCGCTGAAGCAGTCTGTAAGAGGCGGGAAAAATCAATACTTGGGTTGAATAATTAATCTCCTCAGCTATTCATTGATTATTCGCGTTGACTTCCATGCTTATTTTAGTGTTCTCCGCGGGAGGTCGCAGGCCAGTCAAACAATAAAAAATCAAAACAAATTTACACGTAAAGTGGAAAGATGAGGTAAGGCCTAAAAAAAAAATCCTCGGTCTCTGGTCAGACCAAAGTTCCAGAATTGATGCGGCGACGCAGCTTTTTTTTTTTTTTTTTTTTGCCTTTTTTTTCAAGCTTGGATCGTACAGACAAGGTGGGGTACTATTTTGCTTTTTTTGGTGTCTGAATGTACATTGGTGTCTTCCATAATTTTCCTTGGTGCCCTCGATCATTTGCCTTGGTGCAATTTCCCATTCCTTGGTGCTCTTTGGTAAAAAAAAATTGAGGAGGTGCGGCACTAGAGGGCGCTGTTGGAGCTACCGCGGAACATTTTGGAAAAAAAGGTTGACGCGCATGATTAAAATCGACGCGCGCGCTGACCAGAGACCGACTTTTTGGGGGGGGGGGGCCTAAAATGGTTATAATCATGGAGCTAAACACATAGCTCCATGTTAAAATTCAAGGTAATATTCATAATTTAATTCAGTGAGTAAAGTATAGTCTTCCCGCTCTCTTCACTATTCCCATGAGACTTTTTGAGACAAGCGGACAAACACACCATTTGGATTGTGTAAATTTGGGTAAACACAAGAGTTTCCCACTCCAAATAGCGCCCTCATGTGTCCACCATTCTATAAAATAAAATAAAAAAGGCTAGCGATCTTTGCACACAACCTCGTTTCCCACGGTGTCGAGCAGTATGGTCCCACCACTACCTGCTCTTTCAACCCGGTATCGGATCATTGCGTACTCAAATATCCTGCACACAAATTAGTAATAATTAGTAACTGCTGTCTGGCTGTGCTTTAAATCAGAGTTTGTCTTTGTATGCGATGTCTGGGGTAAAAACAGAATCAATTCGTCGCGGCGTGAGATCCGAAAGCACCATATATTTTTTTTTTCAATGTTAAAATGTTACAATCGAATATCCAGCCAATATGCAGTGCCCAGGCGCGGTTCTAGAGCCTATATTTTAGGGGGGCTAGCAGGGGTGGATCCAGAATTTTTTCCAGGGAGGCGTGCTGAAATGTAGACCGGTTTTTCTTCTGGCGGACACTTATAGCCTCCCAAAATCAATATACATTTTGTATAGGGGGGGGGGACGCTCGCTTTTTCAATGGGGAGCGCTGAACAAATCCTACAACCATGCCCACTATATTACCTAGTGGTGTGCAAATACCCCCTTCTCATGAATTGCTACGCCTCTGGCGGACATGTACGTTAATATTATTATCAATACAATTTTCAATCTCATTCGCTACTGCTATTTATTTTTTTCATTTTTGGGGGCTATTTTTTTTCTGGGTTTTTGTTTGGGGGGGGGGGGGGGGGAATATCTCGTATATTTATTAAAAAGTAAAGATTGTAATAATGTGTTTGTTGAGCAACATAATTACATGTGCATATAACGTCAATACCTGGGGTTCGCGTCTGTTTGTAACCCCATGGCGTCGTTATACGGCGCCCTCAATCGGTCACACTGTGGCATGCGGCCCAATTTGCCTGGGGAAAAAAAGGATTTTGAGAAGTATTTAGGTGAGAGTAGCGTGCATCATTTGCAGCTATCCACTCAACTTTTGAATTGAAATCAGGATCCTATAGACCTTTCTTTTGTTTGTAAACATTGGCGCCATTTTATATGGGCTGTCGCAAGCGCATAAATTGAAGCCGTGGTTGTACCAAAAAAAATCCCCATAACGCCCTCAATACATAGTAAAAGGCATGTGTAGGAATTATGTTGTAGATTTGTTGACAATGTTGTATTTCTAACAATCAAATAATATTTTGGTTATCTGTAATAACTCTTCTTCATTTTTGCAGTGTTGGACCTTCCATAGTTTTGCAACCCGTGGTTGGCAAAATGTGCAGTTTGTCAACCAAGCGTAGAAAAGTCTATAATATTGTTTTCTCGGAATATGCAGCAATGAGCATTCACTGAACTAAATCTTCATCAGATGCTTTAAGAACCCTTCTTTCAAAATTTCAAAAATACATCGACTGCCGTCTTAATTTAAATGTCCCAAATAGTGGGACATTTCAATTACACAATTAGGGGTTAATGTCGCGCAAGGCATGATGGGAACAAACATGGCGCAGCAAGATCGTTACCATTGATCTCCATATACACATCGTAAAAATTGATTAAGTCAAACGCTCAGATGCTTATCACACGCATGTTCCATTCAGTGGATGATACAGTCGATTCCATCCCTCCGTGAAGTTCTCCATTTTCGTCCGGCTCGGTCCTGCAGCTGGTGGTTTTTGCTACATGGCTTTGCTGAAGTTCTTTGTTTGATAATTATGAAGGTCAATCGGCCAGTTGTGCAGTAAGTTAGCATAAACCATCTCCTCGGTTTCTCTTTATAAAGAAAAGAATAGAAACATTTCGGTAGGCGTTAAGCCAAGGCAGACATAATTCAATCAGATTTTGCATATAAAAGTTATTCGAATAAACTATCTTAAACAAGTCAACTTTTGTTCATTGCCATTGCCGGGTCAATCATGCACGTTTAGGCCGATGTCTTTTAAAGAAAAATTATGCCGACCAGCATGACAGGCCTAGATCGCATGGAATTTGAACAGAATATCTCGCTAGCTACCACACAGGCCCGTCCCCTCAAACTCAGAGCGACATAATTCGCTTTGTCATTCCCATGTTCATATTCCTCCATGCCATATTGTATAGGCCTCGTTAAAAAAACAACTTACTTGCGAATAATTGTCCTATTCTTCAACGCTCCTTACTTCCCGACTCCAGCAATCTAATGCTGCGCACACCTTGACTATACTCCTCGTCGAGTTTGATCAATTTAGATCTCTGTTTCTTTTATTCTTTCAAAAATGACAAAGAAACCGAAGAAAACCCAACTTCATTTTTTAATCCTCCGTTCGAAAGTGTACACAACTCGAATGCGAAATTGTGTTCTTTACCCTTTTCAAAAAACGCGCGCGCGGACGCACGTTCGTACGCGATGTCCTATCCAGTCTGTGTATATGGAGATCAATGATCGTTACCCATTGAAACGAGCCGTGTCAAGAACAAAGATGGCGGACTTAGGCCCCTACTGCAACTTGCTTTAATTTTTGTGCATAAATGGAAAGCACTCATTCGATACATGCAGGAGCAGCATGAATGACAGCAACATTTAAAAAAAAAATATACGTGATCATTATAGAATGGGCTTGTCTTTGCCAATTTTTACAGCTATTCCGGGGTTTATGTTCTTTTTGTAAGATCATCAGTTTCCCTTCATTTCCGTTCGGCGTTTTAATACGGCAAGCCAGCTGCACTCCACACGCACGCACGTGGGCGTTAATATTAGTCTGGTTCCCAGACTAAACGATTCTGACTATTCCTGATGAATCTTAGGTCAGGTAGCCTCCGGTAATACATCGTATTACAATTTACGTCACGTGACTAAAACGGGAGGAACTCCTCCTTTTTCCGAAAATTTCCGAAGTTTGCCGAATTCGTTTCGTCGACAATCGGATAGCGCCCGAGTATTTCCGAGTATAATATAGGTTTAATTAATTGCTAATTGCTTATTAAAACTTTTTTAATGAGTTAATAATTAATATTCATTGCTTTCATTTAGAAAACCTGAAATTCAACTACGATTTTGTGCATCAAATATATATACATTGTACTCGGATCGTATGGGCGAACTTTTTACTGCGTCATGTACAATTTTGAATTTGACGACCGTTATCAAGATTATTATAGAATATCGGCAACATGAGAACTAAAGATATCCTGTCCGTAAGTGTGCCGTCATCTCAACCTAACCATGCTTAATACTGCACACGGTGTATACATATTGCAACGTAACTTGTTGAGTGTCTATCCAAAGGGCGCTTGTAATCAGTGGTGCGTGCGCGCGTACGACGAAGTCGCTAATACGAACCGGATAGAACAAGTTAACAATAATGTCAGCGATGAACTTTGAGCAGTACAGTCGATGACAAATTAATGGGCAAAGGTGGATTTTGAACCAGGCATCTTGCGATCCATAGTCATTTCGGGCTACTGTGGCCGCTCGACGTCAGCCGTTCTTATTTTAATGTAACTGGCTAACTTACAGTGGTGTTACGTCATTGTTATTGTTCATGAATACGCATACTTTCCATCGAAATGACGGGCACGTTCTCTGATCTCACAAAGAAGGAAGATCTGCGTGTCTCTGCTTGGTGCAAACAATGCTGGCGCGTTGCCCGGATAGTATTAAACATGTGGACACGGGAGAGCTGGCTATCACGATTCTGTTGATAAATCTATCCCCATTTGATATCCTGCGCTGCCGGTATATCTTTCGTCATGACGGAATCTCGCAGCTTTGCTTGCCTGCTTTCCTTCGACAGAAGATACCGCGGACATTTCATGGTGGTCATCGTGTTCCTGCAGTTGTTCACTGCGACTGGGCCTGCCTACACTTACAGCATTCTCTTCGTTAGTGTTCAAGAGGAATTTGCTGCAGGGGCGGCATTAACGGGTAGATATACACATTAAAGTTTTGATAGATTTTTGTTCATGGAAAAAAATGTTGCAACTTGACCACTTTTTTTCTTCATATATCATAAAGGTCAATCATTGCAAAAATGTTGAAAAGACATGAATCTGGGACTGAAAAACATTTTAAATTTTGTGAGGAAATACTAAGAACATTTTCTTGACACTCCATAGACTGTACACAACTGAAGTGGCGTCTGGATACTACAGTCTTTTCACCCCATGTCAGAATAAGGGGCAGGAAAAGCGAGTTTTTATAACACGACCATGCTTGGCAGATAGAAGGTCTAAGCTGGACAGCTTCAGTTGGGCAGTCTCAGTTGCAGGCCCGCGGGAACGGGGGTGCTGCGGGCGCTGCAGCCAGTGGCGTAGCCAGGAATTTTTCAGTGGGGGGGGGGCACTGAAAAATGGAGATTGGCGCAAGCCTTACGCGTACTGCGCGATGTTTTCGTAAGCCTGTCTTAATATCCTCCAACAGTTTTTCTTGCCTCTTTTGCTCATCTTTCAGGGTGGTTAGGATCACTTGCGGCCGCTTTGATTTTTTGTAGCCCGATATCTCCCGTGCTCATCAAGCGATTGGGTCCCAGGGTGGTGGCCATGCTAGGAGCCGCACTGCTGTCCTGCGGACTAGTTGCAACATCATTCGTGCCTGCTCTGGCCTACGCCTTCCTGACGTTCGGAGTCCTCGTCGGCGTCGGCGGGAATTTTATATTTCAGTCGGGAGTCAAGGTTATATTTGACTGGTATCCAAGAGAGAACTGCTCCAGGGCTACTGCTGGGGCACTGTTGGGCCCATCTGTGGGTGAGTATCATTTGCTTTTTCCCCCGTGGGATCAAACAAAGGGCTCGAGCAGCTGGTGTAATGAATGTTCATTACGGTCTGAACGGGCCTGTTTGGGTTGTTTAATTCGGACGCGGCGGACATTTTGTGGCACAAGCATGCATACTTATTTCCAGCCGTGTCCATTACGTATTTACATGCTGTGTGTATGTCACATAACACAAACAGCACCAATACACAAATGTTGTTTCCTGCACGTCCGCAGAATGCGAAACACTGTGCGGCAGGATTCACAACTAGCACTCAACGACTCGAGTTTTTTGACTCCCAAAATTCGTTCTTGCGTGGTTCTCGTAAGAATAACACACAAAACGCCCATTGTTAAAGTATGGCTGTATGGCCGTTTATATCCTAATTTGAAATGCTCTTTCCAATTAACATAGTTTCGTGTAAAACGCGTTTTTTGGCCCAATCGGGCGCATTCCAGGACGTAATATATCCTTAGCCGAGTCAGGTTCGAGGATGGGAACGCGCATGCGGTACAAAGTTCTAGCGTGAAGTACCCCGCTGAGAACCTCTTGAACCAAGGCTATAGGCCTTTCTTTTGTTTGTGAACATTGGCTCCATTTTGTATGGGCTGCCGTAAGCGCATAAATTAAAGCCGTGGTTGGCAACATATTTTACCAAAAAAGTCCTCATAACGCCATCAACACATAGTAAAAAGGCATATGTAGGAATTATTTTGTAGCTTTGTTGAAAATGTTGTATTTGTAAGTATCAAATAATATTTTGGTGATCTGTAATAACTCTTCTTCATTTTTGCCGTGTTGGACCTTCCATAGTTTTACAGGCCGTGGTTGGCAAAAATGCCGTTTGCCAACCAAGCGCGGAAAGGTCTACAGGGCGAAGGATTTGGTCTATCAGCTCGAATACATGCAGACCTATTCATATTGACTGTACCATAGAATGGGAGACTAAGTTGAGACGGTGGTGGCAGCAATAGTACAGGTCCTTTTTCTATTGTTTGCGTCATATTTAGCATGCGCGCTTTAGCGTAAACATGACGTGAACAACTGAAAAGGACAGGTGTGTTTGCTGCCACCAACCGACGTCTCAAAAGTCTTCCACTTCTTCAAGATACCGACTCCCCCTCCCCAATATTACTCTACCTTGTGCGGCACCGGATTGTCTTATCCCTTTTCTTACGATCACATCACAGGTATTTTGGCGTTTGCTCCGCTCCTAAATGCACTGATTACGGCATACGGATGGCGCAACGCTCTGCGGATAATTGGTGGCGGATGTTTTGTCATAAGTGCAGCCTGCGGTGCGTTCATCGCTAGCCCGACCGAAGAGAAAACGCGAGAGAACGGAGTCGAAGAAGGGAAGGATGCTTCTACTGACCCAGCTAGCGAGGTCGCTGCCGATGACAGTACCGAGGGAGCGACATTCCGACGTACCCTCGCCAGGGTCCTGCTTCGAGCAGACACGTGGCTTTGGCTCATTGGATTTATGTTGAGCAGTCTTGGTTGGGCATTCTTCATCATTAATTATGTGAGCTTACTATTATTTCGTTTTCACACAAAGAAACCGTGAATGGAGTTTGGTGTTGCTACAGGACTGTTCAAATCAGAATTTTGCAGTTATTAATCAATTTTTCAATATTTAAACTGTCGCAACTGTGAAAATGGAATGTTGGATTTTAATTCCTAATCTAGAAATATATTCAAACTGAGTTGTACTGCATACATTCGTGAATGTTAATCCTTAAAGACATCATTGGGCATATTTGTTGACGTCATATGGCATAATTGTTGACAACTGAGAGTCCTATCATGTTGTTATATTGCAGCTTATAAAAAAAAAAAAACAAGTGAGGGTGCACAACAAGCTCTGGCCGTCTTACACGAAAGTCTTGCGTGAAATCTGCTCTGTGTTACACAGACCCATATGAACAGCGACCTCTATAGTCACATTGTCGTGTAGCTTTGGAGTTCCCTTTCACATCCCAACACCATAATTTAGATTGTACTTTTTATGTATACCTAGATTTATAGCGATCTGTGATAATTACCACGTGACTACAACATTACTGCACATATATTGCTTCCATTTACGAGATGTTCATAAACATCTTTCCGAATTGTTACAAACAATTTTTGTCAAGGTATTTAATATATTTTATTTGGTTTTTTTTGTGGGAAACTTATGGGGCCTTATTTTGGTCAGATTTTCCGGGGACGGACGGACAGACCGACCGACGTACCGACCACCAAGTGACATGAGAGCTTAAAAATTGAACATAACCTCAGTAAACATTGATACTTTGCATGTTTACATTTATACAAACATTGATACATTTATGTTTACAAACATTGATACATTTATGTTTGCTGTTAGTCTCGTGGTTCTTTTCTTATTTATATCCAGGCAAGCTTCATGGAGTACGATCGAGGATTCACCCCTAACCAGGTTACCGTGTCCTTGGTCTTGGGAGCAGTCGGGGAAATCCTTGGCAAGTTGTTGTTCTCGATCTTCGGCGATCGTCTGCCGTGTCTCAAGATCTACGCCGTGGCCGTAACGGGCATACTGGGAGCTGTCGCATCTGGCCTGGTGACTGTGTTGTACAGCGTGACGGCTATGTACATATTTTCATTCGGTGAGTCCAAGACAAAATACATACCCCTTCGCTAAGCCCGCCGCACACGAGAGCTACGTGCTAAGCGAGAAATCATTCGAGGCCGTTTGCTCAACACGTAGCTCATGAAATTTCCCCATTTGCGCTGAATTTTTGCTGAGAAATTTGCCTCATGGCCTCACGAGGCAAAGAACTCGGCAAAAAAAATCACCACACACGAGGATATTTCGTGAGCTACGTGAGCAAACGGACTCTTAAAGGTATACTTTCCGAGTATGCAAACTAAAACGCGTTTTGTCACAACGCAAGAATCTGTTGAGAAGGTGCATTGTTGCATGGTAGATTTGACATCATCCATTCCAACTATTCCAACTTACTCCTGTACAATTTAGTCAGGAACAATGATTATTTCCAAGAGTATCCTTTGAATGATAATCGGGGAACATTGAATTTTCGGGATACCAGTCCTGGCGTTGCTCCAATGAACAAGACTCGCGTCAGATTTGTTTTCTTCGACTGGTGGGATGTTCAATTCCTGCCCAGTTTGTCAATTGTTTGCTTGTCAGCTGCTTTGCAATATACCATCTGTTTCCTTTCTTGCCTTGCGGGAGCGTCTTGACACTTCCCATACTACTACAGACTGTATAGGTCTTGTTCAAATGACGCCATTTCCTACAGACCATCCACGTGCATCATCATTTTGAGCTTTAACTTGCATAAACGCGCATCGGCTGTGTCAAACACACTTCGAGCATAATGATATGATTTTCAACTCTGCGCAATGCGTGCTTCGATTGCGTAAAATACGTTGCAGTTCTCCTACAGAGGAGGCCGTCATTGAGCGAGCTCTGTTCACGTCCCCAATTTTATCCTTTTTTTCCGGACTAGTCGTGGGATTTGTTCGCGGTGTGTCGTATGTTTGTCCCTACCCCGCAGCGATGGAGATATTCGGAGACTTCGGATCTGATATAGTCACTATGTTACTGCTTGTGCCGATCGGCATCGGGCTATTTATTGGTGGTCCTTTGACAGGTGAGATTTGGTTCGATCACTTAAACCCTCCCTAGCATGATTTATCGCCTGTAACGCCTACCTAAACTGAAATTTCACAGAAAGTGAAATTTCATCAAGTTCTAAACACTCCTGTTCATAAATCGCCAGTTTATTTACCCGTAACACATTTAGAAGAAAAATGTATTTTGGCGTGATTTTCCGATTGTATTTTCAAGTGCCAAGTGAACCCTTTGAAAATGCCCCGAAAAGTAAGAAAATAATTTTCTGACAAACATCTGGCTGGGTATTTAAGTAGAGATAATAATTATTTATCAGAATTTATCAAGTTTACAGAAATTCTTAAATGTTAATTTGGAATTTTTCGAGATATATTCAAGTGCGCCACCGTTTTTGAATTTCGGATTAAATCTTATGAAACCGAAATTGTTCAAAGAGATTAAATGGCAAGCATAGATAAATTAAAAGTACTAGTATTTTACTGCATGAATTTGAGGTTTGTCAACAAAGAGGTTTGGCAACACTTCACGAAGAAAGTCGGGTAAGCTTCGAAGTGCGCCACGTTAGGGAACACGACTATACTAGGAACCATGCATACACACATCCTGGCAAATTCCAACACCATGTTGGAAACTGCACACATATATTTCTGACTTTGATTCTGGAGGTGTGCCAACCCAATGTAAAAGACTGTCAGTTTAGGGGTACTGTACCCATCCTGACAGACTCCAGCAAAACATGCCGTCGGGGTTTGATGGGTTGAGTTCTGTTTTAAAAGAATCAATCCAGTAGAAGATCTTCTTTTAGTATTATATCAGTTTTGGTAACTCAAGAACCAAATAAATTGTACCGGTACATCAAATATTCTGAGCCAAGTTGCCATTTTAGTCAAAATCAATGACGTGACCGTTTTCGATAGTTAAAAATTCCCATCCTATATAAAGCTGGATTGACTGGCTGTGACTGTTTCTGTAACTTGATACAGCTTTGGCTGTGGGTGATTGATAAGCCAACTGTGCTTTTTCTGTTGACTGAATTTGATTAGCCACAGTGCTTGCTTGATATAATAATCTGACTGTTGGTGACTATATAGCCTGTGGTAAAAGTATAGCAGGGGAAATGGATGGAAATTTTGACTGTCTGTGACTGTTTAAATAAAAATACTGGAGTCTTATATAGCGCACGTATCTACCAACAATTAGGTACTCAAGGCGCTGAGAATTATGTCTATTATTAAAGACAGGTAAATGAAGTTTATGAGAAATGTGAGACTCATTATGTAGCACCGTATAAGGGTTTACAAGGTGCTGCGGCGCATATGCAGCCACTGCCTGAAACACTGGGGCAAAACCCCTTCTCTTAGCGATAAGTGCTACTGGGTTCTGTAACGTGCATTACACAACACACTTGACCTACGGCTTTACGTCCCATCCGAAGGACGAATCAATGATGGTAAAGTGCCTTGCTCAAGAGCACAAGCCCCATGTTCCCACGGTCAGGGTTCAAACCCATGTACCACGGCACACGAGTCGAACACCGTAACCGTTGGACCACAGCACCCCACGGACCCCAGCACCCCATTAATATAGCTGGAGGGTTTATGGTCAAAGTCGTTATTATTTTGTTTTTAAGTCTGTACCAACGTTTACACCAAGTGTACCTATCCATCGTGCCTTGTTCCACTGGAACTTCATGTGCATTAATGACATAATCCTTTTGTCGCGTTATCTCATTTATTATGCTGGGTTTCCGATCAAATCTCTGTAATATTTTCAGGTGGTCTTTACGACTTGACGGGAGACTACACACTTAGCCTGCTCATCGTTGCAGCCATATTTGTATGCTCAACAGTCAGCTTGATGATCATTCCTTTAAAGAGGCGGCTTGAAACCAGACGAGTTGCGCGAAATTCGCATGGCGCATCGGTAGACGCCTCCAAGGTGCCCGCTGAAACTCCGGTCGCTGGCGACTCACTAGATCTTCGGGGCACCAATTCCCACAATCCCCACAGAGGACAGAATAAATCTAGGCAACTTTTTGTGGGCTAAGCCTTGGTAAAACTCACAACATAATGTATATAATAGTATTTTATGAAAGAATGTGTTTGAATGAACCCAATACAGGGTGGCCCAAAAAACCCGGAACGGCACTTCTCTGAGACGCAAACAACCTATACCAATGCACGGAGAATTCTGTTAAAAGAAAAATGAAACCAAGATCGCCCGATTCGTTCCAGTAGTTTTTGTTCTACAGCCTTAAACAAGGTTGGCAGTCATTTTGTCCCGATGAATTACTAACCGCGTAACTTAATTAGATGGAGGCATTAATTGTCATGTAATTATACCCACATAATGAAAGACGTGTGCTTCACACACACAAAAATGCTCAGCAGCAAAAACTATTGGACCGAATCGGGAGATCTTGGTTTCATATTTCTTCTAAAAAGAAATCTATTGGTACAGGTGGTTTGAGTCTCAAGGTTGTGGAAGTGTACATGCCGTTCCGTTTTTGTAGGCCACCCTGTATAGGCTAGTCATGGGCGTCGCCAGGATTTTTTTCTAGAGGGGGGCAAAACATATTTTTCCCAAAAATATCCTGTATTTCTCAACATATTCTCGATTTCTCAGTTTTAGAGGGGGGCAGGGACATCCCCCCCCCCCCAACTCATTAAATTTACACCACTATGACTTCGCGCCTCTTTTATTTTTTTATTTTTTTTATTTTTTTTTTGGTTGCTTTTCCGGGGGGGGGGGGGGCAAGCACCCCCCTTTCCCCCCCTCGCGACGCCCATGAGGCTAGTCAAAGTTCGTCTGGATATGAAGACCCCTATAATGCCAGGTTACCGATTTGTATTATCTCGGGACAGGAGTGTTTGGTGTCTTCTCAGGAATAGGGCTTATATAGTACATTTTTCAATATTAAAATGCTCACAAATTTGGAAATAACATCAGTTTGGGGTCAATATTCATCGAATCAAACATTTTTCTTTGACATGTTATATGAGTCACCGCTAAAGGGCGCTATGAATTCCCGGCATGCATTGCACTGACCCCTTGACCATGAATTTTAGTATAAAGTGAATACTTGGTAGAGGTAAGGGCAGAAAAACATGTTTTTTACTTGCAAAGAAAGAAAAAAAATCGCATTTCCACGTCTTTATACAAAATGAATGAGTCATGAATACCAGTGTTTTTTTTAATAGGTTGAAAAGTTTGGTTTTTATTATTATTTTTTTCTTTTGATATGCATCGTTTTAATCCGCCCCTTTTTATATGAGACGTCTTTCGGGATGCGGGATGGGGTGTTTTCCTTCTTCCTTTTGTCATTTTGTATTCTCGTTGAGCAATTTTTAATCAATCTTTTACACTGTTTGTGGTTTATCTTGTAAATACTCCGTGTTTGTCTGCTTGTCTGTTTTTGTACCCTGTATACGGTCTGTAAAAGGACCAATTACCTGGGTTTTGTGTGTAATCTTTTTATATATTGATGAAATAAAGATTTTAATATGGCAACCACGGACGTCGTGCAATTAACTCAAAAATATCACTTGTGCAATTATCTCGAAACAAATCTTAGTTGTGGTGGATGGAAGGAAATTCAAGGAATACTCATTATGGACGTGCATCCAACTCGAAGGAATGAAGTTATTATCTTACTATAATTCCAGGAATCTCTGTCTGTCTGTCTGTCCGTCAATTATCTCCAGAACCGAGCACCGTGTGAAGTTGAAAATCGGCGGGTGTATTGCTCGGGGCCACAGAATGTGCAGTGCCAAGTTTGAAATGGTTTGGATGAGCAGTTCTCGAAATTTTCGGAGGCAAACGTGGCAGCTTAGAACATAACACCACGCACTGCCGTTCTTTTCAATTGTTTACGTCATGTTTAAGCTAAAGCGCGCGTGCTCAATATGACGCAAACAATGCAAAAAGGACGGGCACGCGCACGTTCATTGTAGGGCGATACATTGTCCAGTATGGGTGAATAGCACTGCATACCATGTTTTCGTATGTACACGGGCACATTATTTTTGCAGTCGACTGAGCGACCTGGTCGAACTTCAAACTTGGCACAAACTTCGACGTAAGTGTGCGTTCAACCTGTGAAAACAACACCATTGAATCGCGTGCGTTGTTTGCACGAGCAGTTCTCCAAAACTCTGCAAGTATGCAAACTCTGCAAGTATGCAACCTATACAGCGGCAAAGCAACTTGCGTTTCCCGAACATGCACATTTTAGACGGGCACTGCACTAGTTGTTTCAAATGCTGAAGAAAGATAATGAAGAGATGAAAAAAAAACATACTTTAACAACCATCGATTAAGCGTTTCAAGGCTGGACTGGTTTGTGGCTGTTTCGCCTGCAGGAGCGATCGAATCTACGGGTGGGGTGGGTTGGGGTGGGTTGGGGTTTGTTAGATGAAACATGTGCATCTGTGGACGAAAAGATTACAACCCAAGTCATTTTCCAGCCTTTCTGGTTTTCCACTATCAGTAAGGCAGATTTGAAGTTTAGTTAAATCTACAATGTTCTGCTCTTTCTGCTTTTCTAACACTAACTTGCAAAGCAGATTTTACTTTTTTCTCCTTTCGCTCCACAGCGGACAAAAAGTGGCATGTCGTTCTGTGGTCACAGCAGCAGAATATCAGATCGAACGTTTTCGAGGTTTCCATTTTCTGTTTTTCAGTTACCCAGAAAAGCAGATTTTAATCACAGGTGGTCAAAAAGTTGCCGTCTATTTTTCTGTTTCAAAGGAGCAGCCAATGCGATCGGACGTTCTGGAAACAACCGTTTCTGCTCTGATGTGGTACGGAGCTCTAGAGGTGCCATCCAAGATGTTTCTCACATAATTTATCACGAGGTGACGACGTTTAACACGTAATGTGTCGCCACCTGGAGATAATTTATCACAGGACAACATATCACACGTAAGATGTCGACATCCTGTGATAATTTATCATGGAATGTCGACATCCTGAGATAGTGTATCCCGGGATGACGACATCTCACACGTAAGATGTCGACATTCTGAGATAATTTATTACGGGATGACGACATTTCATACGTAAGATGTCGACATCCTGTCGAGATAATTATCACGGAATGACGATATCTCACACGTATAAGATGTCGACATCCCTAGATAATTTATCTCGGGATGACGACATCTCGCACGTAAGATGTCGACATTCTGAGATAATTTATCATGGGATGACGAAAGAATTTATCAACGATGCTGTGTTCCTGGATTCATATATCACGGAGCAGACTCTGAAAGTACGTGTAGCCATGTTTTCCCCCGAATTCTTTACTTTAACCACAGAAACATTACTCCGGAATGAAAACGTGCTCCGAGGTCCGAGAAAAGTCAATTAAATGTATTGCAAAACGACAACATTTAATTAAAGATCCATTATTTTTCTAGAAGCGAATGATCAACACCTTTTGCTACAAGATATGCATCAATACTAATTAACAAATTATTATTATTACTATTTATTACATATAAGTTTAATACGTTCTTTTTGTTATTTTTTCTCAGCTACTTTCTGTGGATTTTTTAATTTTGTATTACTGTCTGTATTTTGTTTGTCGAGGTCAAATAAATAATAATAATTTCAATTCAGTAGGTATTGCTTAAGCTATAATGCGGACAACACTTTAATTATTGAAACGTTAACCCAATGTTCACTGCAGTGTTCAATGTATGCCCATAAAAGTGTTACCGAAAGGTAAATCGAAAAATCTTCTTTCTAGAATGTACACTTATTGCTTTGTTTTAGAACTGAACCCACCTTCAACTTTAACACATATACCTCAAACTCTTGGACTACTCCACGCGGATTTACAAGCGGATTTCCAATCTGACACGGTTTTAAAACACAATACTGTTCTTTCACCAAGGTGAATACCTATACTACCATGTTTTTTTTCATATTTTTTCCTTTTGGCTTGTTGTTTCTTGTTGCATTATACATATTTTGATTTACTTGTAGTAGTTAATATTTCTGCATTTTGCTGTTTTGGTTTGGTGTTTATGTGTTGCACTGTACATTTTTTGTCATTGTAGCCATTTCCCCCTTGTGTTGCATCGACTCATTTTCACTTGTGCATGTTGTATTTTATCAATAATTGATTTTTTTAAATGTTTTTGATTTGGCGTTTTTAGGGGTTTTTTGAGAATTTTTTTCTGCTGCATATTAATTTGCATTTAAGTTTTGTTTGCTTCCATGTTATAATATTTATGTTCACTGTGGCACTTGATATAACTTCTTTTTTTTTTTTGAAGTATCTGTATTGCCTGTTTTATAGTTTTTATTGAGGCAATTTGAGGTATTTTACAGAAAGCGCCATATGGTTTTTATTTTTATTATTATTGCATGTAATAATATTTACGAAATAAAGTAAAATTGAATATTTTTCTAAGCTGCGATAACGCTATCTGGTATCAATAACCCTCACCTTCATTTGAATTATGCAGAATCGTGTTGAATTGAGCATTGTTACTTTTTTTAAAGGTACTTTTAAAGGTACTCGAAATTGGATTCCGTTGTTCATGCACTATAAAAGTGTGCCCGGAGACAAACTATTTTGAAACCACCATCAACGTTAGTTTCCTTCTAAACGTTACCATTTCAGGCGGAATAATGTCACAGTTTTATCTTCACTTTGAACAAGGTTTCTGACATTAACTCGGTATAGGTCCTTTTCCGGGAAATTTCAAAATAACTACGTGACATTATTAATGACACAAAAATTCGTTCGCATTGTTTACCACTATTTTTTTTGCGCAAAAAATGTTGCATGAATGTTATTGAGTTATATAGTTCATTTTATAACCCCGGAGCTGAGTCATTTGTAATGAGAACAAAATGTTTGCTTTACTTGCCTTTTTTGTCTTTAGAGCGAAAACAACGGGTTTGTTGAACTTCACCTGAATTTCCGAATACGTGAGCTTTTTTGTTTTTAGTTATTTCAAGTTTGTACACTCCGACATCCATGGATTTTTCTTGATATGGATGGCTGATGAAACTTCGGAGCTCGCGTTGTTGTTCAGCTGGCATGATCATGTCCATCCCTTTATTCGGTTTTCTTGCGACATCCGGGCTCCTTAGCAGAGGCCGACCAACACAGACGGCCACGCCCTCAGTGATAAACTCCCGGATGGTGTGATCGAGGAGGCGGGTTGAGTTGATGCGGCCGTGGGAGTCGATAGAGAGGCATTAGTGACGGAGTTGGGTTAGGCCGTGGGTGCAAGCAGCTCGACGAACGCAGAAAGCCGTGAAACGGTAATCGCATCCATAGTCATCCATTCTGTCATGATGAACTGAGGCCATCCGCGCACAATTTTGATCGCCGTAGTTGTTATTCGGTTGCCCATCATCCCATACCAAGGGCTCCCTCCCTTCCTGATTGTCACACTCCCATGTCCCTTCTTCTTCTTTGTCGTTGCAAGCGATCCAGACAGAGAACCTATTGTCCACTTTCGGAGCCATTTCCGTCATGAAATTCATTTCCTCAAGCGATTGAGGAGCGGCCATCTTGCCATCCAGGTCTCGGCAAGCTGACTTGGCGTCGTCCCAAATATGGCTTGCGGGAGTGAGGCGATAGCACGCTTTCCCCCACAGTTGCCACTGTGGCGGGCAAGAGCATTCCACAGTGAGCCGACTGAGGCAGGGACTAGACCCCAACTGAGCATTGCTCACTGAAGTTATTGCTACAATGCCGAAAACTTTGAACAAGTACATGTTGGTTATAGTTTAACAACAACAGCAGAGTCAACCGACGAGAATCTGATGTGTTTTATACAACCACCCAGTCACTCTAACAGTTATCAGGTCGAATGATGCGAAAAGAAAACTGGTGGTCGCGGCAAAATATTCCCTGCCGCAAAAATGGTGACGATTATTATAATCGAAGGGGGAATGGTAGTCTCTATGGTTACACTTCCTTTTCGTAGTGAATCAATCATCTAGAATATAATGCGGACGATTTTAATGAGCGCGGGGTACGATTAAAGCCTGCACTTAGTAATGAAGCATTTAATTTTGCATGGCGGAAGACTGAGCAACAAAAGCTAAACCACGTCGTGAAATGTTAAAGACGTATTACGGCCTGAAATCTCTGAAAAAAATTATGTTTTGGATTGTTTACTTAACCTTAAGGGTCTGGTTGAAATGACAAACCTAATGTTGTTCCGATCCTGAGAAAAGCCGAAAAATAAACCCGGTTGTTGAATTCTGACGCGGCGGACATTTAGTGGCATGCGCATTCGTATTTCCAGCCGTGTACACTCAATGTACGGTACACGTTGTGTGTGACACATAATACACACAGCACCAATACATAAATGTTGTTTCTCGCGCGTCCGCAGAATGCAATGCACTGCAGTGCACTGGTGGAACATATGCGGCAGGATTCACGACTAGCACCCAACAGCTCTCTTTTTGAGAGTTAAAATTTAGACCCCCGAAATTCGTTGTCGCACGGTTCTCGCACGAATAACATGCTCAAAAACGCCCAGTACAGTGTATTTAAAGGTTAATTTTGTGGACGTTTATATCCTAATTTTAAAAGTTCTTTCCAATTAACATCATTTTCGTTTAAAACTCGCTTTGTAGCCCAATTAGGCGTAATATCCCTTTAATATTGCGTGGTGGGCTGAGCAACGAAAACCAATACCGCGCGGTGAGATATTGAGTCATTACGTTTCAATTAGTGTCACAGAGCGATCTAACCGTGCAATCATTGACTAAACAAAATTACCTTGGCGTCTGTTTGGGAATAGGCGCCCAGTATTCCTCTCTTTTTTGTAGAAGCCTTTAACCTACTCCAAGGGCGGATCCGATGAGAAGGAGGGGGAGGGACCGACAAATGTTTATAGACCCAAGACATAATGACAATACGCTTTGTTTGATCATGTGCGCTTTCTTATGGGAGCCAGGTGGGGATGACTGGCTGCCGTCAGTACCTGGCTCCCGTAGGAAAGCGCACATGTACCCAAAGCGTGACGTCATTATGTATTGGGTCTGTTGTTACATATTATAATTCGGAGAATTTTGAGACGTGTTGTGGCAGCAAACACACCGGTCCTTAGTTCGGTATCACCCTCGTTCCCATGAGTACGATGTTACTGCGCCATATGTTGGTTCCCCCATTAAAGTTGCGCAATCTTATTATTATGTCGCCCGCACGCGGGCTCCTTTGAAAGGCTGGCATTATTCAGGCAGCAAGCTCAGTCTGCAGTGCCGTCCACCCCAACATCCCTGTGACGGACACCGCGCGACGTAGCTCGTCCTCTGTCCTCCCCTCATCTTCGCCTATCGGAGTCGGTTCCCACAGCACCACCCTGCCTGCCGGAAGCTCAGGATGTCTGTAGCAGCTGTCCTGCCAGGCCCATCTGCCTGTACGCGATCTTTCTGCGAGATACGCGGTAGCTTGCCGTAGAGGGCTATTGTTGGACATTCGGGGCGTATTCGAAACCCCGATGTCGTGTTGAATGAACACGAGAACAGGGTTCCGAATGACGGGAATCAACACGCGAACGGTGTTCGTGAACAAGACTCTCACTCCCCACTTATTGGGGAGTAGATGAAGAACGTCAATAACAAAGATGGCCGACTAAGGCCCCTACCGGAAGTTGCGTTAATGTATAAAATTGAAAGCATTCATTCAGTGCAGGAGCAGTAATGATAATAAAAAACACAATTGTACGTGGTTAAGGAGTGGTTCAGTGTCAGCCTTGTCTTTTCCAATGTTTACAGCATGTAACCTTCGGGATTTCAATTATTTTCGAATTGAATTAATTGCTCCTTCTTTTCATTCGGCGTTTTGATATGGCGGCTGCCGTCTTGAATTTTCGCCCAGCTGCACTCCACACGCACTTTGGCGTTCGTAATCGGTTACCCGAGAACACTGTTAGCGGGCCACTCGAGAACGGGGTTTCGAATGCACCCTCGCGGTCTCTCCAGTCGAACACCATCCTTAACATTTCTGTTGTAAGACCCGTCGAGGGACTTCTGATGAAGGGTCGGGGTTAGGGTTCAGCACTCGCAACCCACAGCAGGATGGCCTCCATTGTGGCCCCGGACGCGAAATTTTGTTTCCCAAACGACACAAGAAAATGGGGTGTACGCTATGAGGTTTTGGACTTCACTTCCCTGAAATAAAACTTGAGATAAAAAATGCAGATCAAAATAAAAAAAAGGAATTCGAACTTAACGAAATTCAGACTTTATTCCCCTTTAAAAAAAATCCTCTGAACCCGCAAATTAGAAAAGAAAAAATGTAGGGAAAATGTGGTTTTGAACTCACACCCTCCGATCTCAGAGCCATGGCATTTTCCAGCTGAGCCATCGGATCGATATCGGTAGTCTATGTAATAGAAAGCCATGGTCTATTATGCGTGAACAAATTCGCTGATTAATTAGGAAAGACCCCGCCTCTTGACCTCCTAGATTTTGACCAATCAGCGAGCGCTTTCTATATCGGGTCTTCGGACATTCACCCGTTGCGCGCCATAGACAAAAGATAAAACAAAATGTCATGCGCTCTGTATCATGTTACGCGATATCGATTGCGCCCGGTTGTTGTATTACAAATCACTCCATTTGAATGACCAATCAAACCAGTTAGTCCTGATTTAGGAATGAAATGACGTCACGATTAAGTAAAGTCGACTCCGATTGGCTGGCGCGCGGCTTGCATCGTCTGCATGTCTAGACATATCAGACGTTACACAGGACTTGGCTCCGTGGATAACGGGTGATACTCAGACTATCGGACCGGAGAGCTCGACAGCGAACCGTAATTCGTGGCATAATATACCTGCGTATGTATAATAAAATTATCGTAGAGGGCGCTCAACCACCATCCATACGATGTTGTTTGGGGGAAAAACAATTCGCGGCCCAGACGAAACTGCTCCTTACAATCATAACCCCAGGTATGGTGGCTTTTGTAATTTAAATATCCCACTAGCAGCGCGTTCGCTTACTTCCCTCACGCTTAACCGTATTTTCGTCTTTGGTATAGATGCACGTACGTGCGCAATTTCTATCACTAATAGAACGATATCGGGTTACTCGAGCCACTGGCAACCGGACCGGGTCAAGAGGTCAGTCTTGCTTGTGTCTGTTGTAGCCATCAATTAGAAAATTGATACTATCTGAGTTTGGTGGCGACAAATTAAATGGGGGCTTGTCCGGAAATTCTTTTTTGAAAACCAATTTCTATAGCGCCTTGTAGAAACGCGGATTCTGGAGGTGAAACAATGGACGTTCCTAGTATGATACATGAACAGATACCTTGAATTATGTCAAGTGTATTAATGATATTTTGGAGTTCTCTTCCTTGTTGTCAAGTCTGTACAGGTTGAGGGTGGTTGTCATCTGGACAGAGTTGCAAGTGTTCCCTACATGCCATTTATCACGTGACATATGCATCTCACAAAGCTGAAAGCAAGATAGAGTGCACTGCCGGCAGGCGGGACGCCACTCTTTAAGATGTCATCGGCAATTTGGCTGCTTCTCCTACACTGTTTGGTACACTTTGTCTCTGAAGTTTTTATATAAGTTTAATGTTGTAAAACCGCAAAAAGCTATTTTAGTACGAATTTTCCCAGGACGAGTATCACGTGATTCATAGCTGCCCTAGATCTGAAACCAAAATAATTTGTAGACGACCTCTACCCCTTAATAACTGACCATCAAACATATTACTGACGTCCTTCATTTTAGGTACACTCCTTGATGAAATCCGCATTAAATATCAAAAATTTATCACAGCAATACTGATGTTTATTAATTGGCCTCAGTACTTATGAATACGCGGCTGAATACACTGAATGCGCAGCTGTGGCATCTGGCCGAATACCGGGGCCATGTTCACCAGGGTGACCGTTTTAGCCGATTTTCGGCTAACTTTGACTGGTTTTTTTTTGTTAAAAAACGAGTTTGACAGAAAATTTGACGGAGTGAATATTTTTGGCAGATTTCTGGCAGATTTCTCAAAAATGGTTATTTACAGAAAACCATAGCAAATGTGAAAAAAATTGTACATTTGTTTTTAAAAATCTTCAGTCTTTTTCAAACAAACCCTTGCATAATGAGACAGGTTGGCTGATCTAGGCGCTGAGGTTCACTAGGAACCGGACTTCACGCCGCAATCGCGTTTTGCCTGAAATTTACGCAATAATTTCATAACATCTTTATGTGACTATAAATTGTTAATAATGTAATTTGAACCTTAATTAAGTCAGTACTACAAATCTGCATGTGATTTTTAAGGGGTTTTTTTTAGTGAATTTCGAAGAAATCTGGGGAATTTGGCAGATATTTGATAAATCTCACAGATTTTTGAAGCGCATTTAGCAGAATTTTGCCATTACCTTACGGTCACCCTGATGTTCACTCTGCCGGAGTGAACCTGGCCGGCCGCAGATGCTTATATTATAGCTGGACTAGTTTTAGCGAGATTCGTGTGGAACCTTGCTCCAAGACAACGCAGCGAGACAAGTTGCCGAAGTCAACTTCGTGTTTCCTACCTACATGGTACGTGTACATTAGTATGTTTACAAACATTGTGCCACACTTTTTTTTCTTTCTTTTACTAACCGGTACGTTTACAAAAAGTTGAGTACAAAATGGCTACGCAGTACACACTGATATGATGGAAGGCTAGCATATCACCAAAGCGTCAAAGGATTTGGTTAGGTGTGTCTCACTTTTTTTGTATCCCCGTTTATTGGTGAAGGTATGCCTGAGAATGAAGGTAGGAATATAAGGGACTTTAAATGTTTAAACAAAAATCCTCAAACTTGCTTCTTTGAGGGTGAACTTGTGGTGTTTTTTTGCCGTGCCCCGGCGCTTGCCCCAAAAAGAAAGAAAAAAGGAGCCGCGCACGGCACTCTCGCCATTCGCTACACGTCCACCGGGCACAAAAATACCCGGCCACTCGATCTTTTCATCTGTAGCTGGCTGGAGTGCGGGTCACGGTCAGTTGCCTCAAGCTCACAGTGTAAACGGGTCATAAACTTTAGACATGGCCACACTCTTTCTTTCTTCCTACCCATTCAGTTAACGCTGTTACTAATAAATTGATGACCTTGGATTAGTGTAAACAAACGTGTGGCGTGGGGCCATACATTGACCTGATTCACTGGACTTTGGGTTTCAACAAAAAGATATTGGGAAAAATCAGCTAGAAGAAAGCATAACGCTCATGCAAACTGCTGTTGCTGCATATTATGCGAATAAGTTTACCATACGAATACAGCGCGGGTGGTCCAAAGAAGTTAACACTTCTTTAGAGATTTCTTTGAATAATTGAAGCGACAAAGTCATGTTGAAATTGTTTTAAGATATTCCTAAACTACAATATCTTGGTCGTAAAGGCCTATGCATGGTAAAAACGGCGTTGAAAATAAAGCCCAAGTTATGAAATAGCGGCCATTTACAGAAGTATGGTCAAAAACTAGTTTGTCCACGTCTATGACAGTCGTGTAGACCTAATTACAATTATTGCAGATCTTTGTGCGTGCAGTGCTGTGGTGTTGGCCATATCCCATGGACTTGCGTTATATACGTGTGGACAGACCGGTTTTTGACCGTCTTTCTGTAAACCATCGCCAAAATAGGCTTAATTTTCAGTGCCGTTTTCACCATATACCACGAAGATGCTATGGGTTAGGAATATCTTGAAACGTTTTTGAACATATATATGTCTATCTAATTCCAAAAACTCTGCGTCTGAAAAGTGTAAATGTTTTTTTGTTTTTAAACCACATTCTGTACTCGCTATTTGTGTTGTCAAGTTTGTAACTTTGTAATTTTTACGGTATTCATCTCTATAGGCTCGACACACGGGCATCGCATTACAGTGATTAATATGATACATTATTATTGTAAGCATTGTGATATCGATCCATGGGACATTGTTTATTATCTTATTCTAAATTGCAAAAAAGAATGGTAGGCCTAGTTTTGAAAAGGCCATCAAACTGCAAAATTCAGAGTTTTTTTTTAACTGCGGGACATGTTTTTAATAAACCATTATTGAATTCATGACTTATAGTATAGCACATTACGGTATGTCATATTTGGATAGATTTTTACCTTGCTAAAGAAGTAAGTTTTTGTCATATTTGGATAGATTTTTACCTTCCGAAGCGAAAAAATCCATTGGTAACATTTTTTCCCATCTGTACAATATGACGGCCATCTGGGATTTCAAAGAGGCCGCCATTTCGTACCTAATTCAAAGTCGTTGCGGAATTTATGCTGTACGCATATTTCAACCGTACGGTGTTGAAGAGCAACTGTATAAGTTATGTAACGGGTGAAATATCTGCATCGCCATCGCTTTATTGTATTCACTCTCTGCTGCATTAATTGACAGTGCGTTCGGTAGATCGAGTTTCCGGCATGGCGTCGACTCCAACCACGCCCGTCAACTACGACCAGGATGAACGGGGCTGGGTCATGGTGGCGGTCATGTTCGCCAGTGGGTTTGTCATCATGGGTAACCTCAAAGCGCTTGGTGTCCTCCTCATTCCTATCACCAACGACTTGGACAGCCAGCTGTGGCTGGTGGGCTGGATCGCAATCTGGTTCAACGCGGGCCAGAACTGCTGTGGTGGGTATACCTTTTCACTTTGTACAGGATGAGTCAAAAAAAAAAACGGAACCCAAACCCCTCAAAATAGATTTCATATTTAAAAAAAAATGTAGCACCAAAAATAATAATGACTGGAAGGACAATTTCATAAGCTACTTTTAGACGAACAAATTGCTGAAATTTCTCAATCTGTTCCAAGAATATCACCATTTAAACGCAATGAACCAGTAACCTGTCTCGTCCACAAAAACAACAACAACTAGAGGTTAGCGTTTGTTGAGTTACAAACGCAGAGTGGTCGGGCTGGCATATTTTCTTGTGTTTACAATGACTTAATCATAATTGAACTGCACATTACCCCTCCGAGGGGTAATCCGAATATACAATTCCACGACGTGGTGGAAAGTCATTTTCTGGCTTGTTCACAAGCTTATAATTGCCACGCTTCTCACATTCAATAATTCAATTTTTGTCACCTTGTTTACTACGTCTAGTGCACCCTCATGTTAAATGGATTTTGTGCACAAGGTTACGAAAATTGAATTATGCAAAGAAACCCGGCATATGGCAAACATTGCTGCATAGATTTACATGCGAAATTGAGCAATCTACAGGATGACAAAAAAAAAAGGAAACCCAAATGGCACGACAAATTTTGAAATAAAGTTCTGCATGTAAGCACTATCAAAATCTAGGATATGAAAGCCCAAGTAATAAGCTTTCTTTTAGTACAAAAATCAAATTACTCATGTGTACTGTTGAAGTTACGGAATTGTAAACACAACCACCGTTTTACAGTTCTGTCCACGGATCACAAAAAAAGGTAAACGTGTTCTTTCAGTAAAACGATAAAAGTTCACACAGGGATGTGTGTGAATTGTATTCGTTTTGCTGAAAGAACTTTTTGTGATCCGTGGACAGAACTTTAAAACGGTGGTTGTGTTTAAAATTCCGTAACTTAAAAAGTACATGAGTGATTTGAATGATTTTTGTACTAAAAGAAAGCTTATTAAATGGGTATTCATAAGATGGAATTTTGCGTCGGGGTGATGTATATTAAACTAGGTTTTGCCCTTCATCAACGTATAAACACTGTATATTCACACATGTTTACGTTACATGTTAAGTGTGGACATTCTATTCATGCTTTCGTGTAGTTAAGAACAACCAGTGGGAAAAAAAATCATTTTTCTCAAACTGTGAAAACTCTTTCAACCCAATTTTTTCTATGATCCCCTTTGGTGTTTTTTTTTCATTTTGCCACGGATAAACCTAACCCCAAAATGCCTCTAAACCTGTTTTCCAGAGAGGGGAAAACGTTGTGTGGACGTGGGCAAGTCCACACAACGGCGCTGCTACCTGCTGGTTTATGTGGACATCTTTTGTTCGGAAGTCCACACACTGAATATAATGCTTGTCATATTCACTCAGGAGGTATTACACACTGAGTATGCAGTGTCTATACGTCGGTGAAGGGCAAAACCTATAGTTTGATTTATTAAATGGGCTTTCATATCCTAGATTCGACATGCAGAAATTTATTAAGGAAATGGTTCTGCTATTCGGGTTTCCTTTTTTTTTTGGTCTCACCCTGTGTTATCGAATTGTTTACTGACACGGAGTATACCGTGATATGAACTCTTTTTCAGGGCCTCTTGTGGGAGCTCTGTGTCGCCTATGGTGGCAGCCGTCCCGTGACGGTATCTGGTGCATTGCTTCTTACGTTGGGCTTCATCCTGACGTCTCTGTCCCCCAACGTCCCACTTATGATCATATTCATTGTCGCATTTGCAGGTAATTAAATTCAGTTGAAACTATTGTCTCAGACCGCTTCTCAAACTTTCTTTTTCCTTAGTTTTTAACATGAAAGAGGGAATAGGAATAAAGTTCAATAAGCAAACAAAAAAACAAAGGCTGAAAAAATTGTTTTAATCAGCAATACTTTTGTGCATAAAAATCAGTGCATTTTAATTGATGTACCTGTTTTAGTATTATACCTTGAGTAAAGTCTGTCACGAGCATGGTCACGAGCCAATGTGGCCCATCAAGCCGGCGTTTATCTCCTGTTTCAGTGGCATGAAAAGATTGAGAATATTTCTATTCCCCCTGGACGGGATTCTAGTCCATCGCAGGCCAATGCCGGTACCCATTTATACTCCTGTGTGGGGTGAAATGGCTTGCCGAAGAACGCAGTTATATGACCAGCAGCTTGATTTGAACCCCTGACCTTGTGATCATGAGTCACGAACCCTAACCACTTGGCCACACTCCCCCAAATATACTAAATTATACCTTGATATAGTTTGTAAATTATGTCTCATCCGCAGGAGGGAATAAACTAAGCTATATAAAAGAACCAGAAGAGCCATCCCCTTAAACAAAATCCACTAAAACAATTTGTGTAGCCTCGACTTTCATCTTGGTTGAACCTTAATATTTTCTTCTTTCAGGTTTTGGTGCTGCATTGGTTTGGTTCAGTTGCTTTTCCGTAATGGCGTCTTACTTCAAGGAGAAGTACCAATTGGCTGTTGGTATATCGATGATGGCTACTCCAATTGGTTTGATGGTGTACGGGCCCATGACCCAATTGCTTCTGGATACCTATGGCTGGAGAGCAACTATGCTCTTGCTGGGAGGTGTCTCGTTTCATCTGGTGGCGTGTGCTCTGTTGGTGCGACGAAATCCATCTTCTTCTTCACCAGACACTGAACAGTACCAAGAGATTTCGGTAACCGATGATGAAGAAAGCAAAGAAGAGTGGGGAGAAGGTAGATACGAGAGCATAACTGAAACCTCCGACGATGAAGGGCGTGCAAATTCAGACTTTCATAACAGCGGGGTAAAGGAGTGTTGTCAGCGCTTTACGGCAGCACTCGATTTCGCAGTGCTGGTCAATGTGAGGTTCCTCTTGCAGACCGCGGCTCATTTCACGTTCAGTTTCTCTTACAGCGGGTACGTGGTGTTCATGGTGTCGCAGGGGCAAATCTCGGGCCTGAGCGTCCACCAGGCGTCGTTTCTTCCCATTGCGCTGGGGATCGGCAACATCATCGGCAGAGCATTGCCACCACTCCTGCAGGTGATTGGCGTTGTACCATCCATGACATGCTGGGCGTTTTTCGGGTCGTCCCTCACAGGCGCATCAATGATTGCAAACGTCTCCATCAGCCCCTTCATCGGACAGTTTGCCATGACTGGGCTCACTGGGATAGGTATCGGTGTACTGTATCAGGCTATTGACGTCTTGTTGCGGTTCCTGTCCACGGACGACCGATTGGTTAATCTCATGGGCTGGCAAGGAGTGTTTGTTGGCGTAGCTGGGGTTCTTGGTGGACTGACCTCAGGTTTGCCTCATTCTTACCATATAAACCTCTTAGATTAATCTAAAGTCTAAATCGACCCAACATTATTTTGAAGTAATTCATTATGCACAATGTTCAGTACTTATAGAGAACAGTGTGCTTGTGAGCAAGTTATATAAGTTATGAATATACGTTTACAAACTGTGAGCCCAAGCATGGGCTGAAGTGACACTAAATTCATTGTGTTTGTCATTCATTTTGTGTACACAGGTTGGATTTATGAGTGGACAGGGAGTTTCAGCCCATCCTTCTACGTGTACGGTGGAGTGACTTTTCTATGCATTCTGTTGTTCCTCGCCGATGCTGTATATGCTAAACGCCGCTCACACTGATGAGTGGTTGTGTCGACGTACGAGACGTGGAGCTTGTCCTAGACGAGACCCAACTGCGTCTTCGAAATGCCACATATATAAAGACGCTGTGTAACCCAAGCCCATTATGTTGCCCCAGCCCTATGTAGCCCGGGTTCTTAATGTACTGAGCCCCATTCCTGTACCTCTATGTAGCCCGAGCCAGTAGCCCCAACCCTGTACCTAAATGTAGCCCGAGCCTATGTGTTGAAATCAATTAAGCCTGTAACTTGTAGGCCTATTCCAGACCCACCATAACGATCCCCAACCAGCCAAACTTCAACATAAGGGTTTGGTGGAGTCCAGCTATTTAGTGCACAGATGAATATCACAGCTAGGATGTTGGAATTCGCAAGGATGAGGAAGGTTCTAGTAAATCATCCTAGGGAGTTAGTGTAGTCCCAACTCTGTATACTTATTGTAGCCCCATTAGGGTTAGGGTAAGGGTTAGGGTCAGTCAACCTGAACAAGTGGAACTAGACAGTATTATGTTTCGTCGGACCAATGGCACTTCGGACCAATGGCACTTCGGACCAATGGCACTTCGGACTATCGAGACGTAACCAAAATGTACCACAATCATGTACCTTGTTGTAGCAAAACTGTGGTACAAACATTGTGTATCTATAATGTCCATTTATTTTATTTTTCTCAGGAACATAATTTTATGTTGTGCAACTTTCTGCTCCTCTTCAATGTATGCAATTTTTTGACATCCCCTTTTTGGTATTTTTTTTTATTGAAAAGTGCACTTGTTTAAAGATTTAAAACATAATGTTCAGCATATCCCATAAGCCCTCTAAGATGACTGCTGCTATACTCATAGGGTATATTACGTCACATCGTAGTTGCTGTGTGCAATATCGTGTACGTTTATTATTCGATCGCCCGGATTCGTCTACATTGGACACAATAGGCCGATGTTTTGAGCGGGTAAACTCATATTTTGTACTCAAATGTACAATATATGCATTACATAAATCGCCATCCTTGTGTGCGCCATTAATCGATCTCCAGGCTGATTAACAGACATCAGTGTTGACCGTTCTTTGGAATTTTGATTTAGTTTGTTCTTTTTTTGGTCTCTTTATTGTCAAAAAGTGGAGTCGTTTCTATTTTTGTGGTGGTCCTTGTCTCAGTACATCTCAGTACATCACATGAGGTTCTGTGCTTATCAAAGGGCTACATTGTTCTATGGTGTAATTTGACCTAAGCTGTGGCCTTATTCATTATTCATTTAGTAAGTTGGGGGTCATTGGTCTTACTAAGGGAGATCAATATTTGGGGTTCATGCATTGCAATGTGGATGAGGTAATGTGGTGTCTGTACATAGCTATCATGTAAGGATACTACAGTCCTAAAAAGGACCGATGTCAAATGAATTTCGGACAATGAAATCTCGCCTCGTTTACCTACCTATTGGTCACGTTAAACGTGACCCTGACTCTAACACGTGACCTAGCTGTAGCTGAAGGGCTTCCACCCTTCATGAAATATTCAACTTTTGCGCGCGCGCGCGTCATGCGCGCATACGTTCATGTATCACTGATTGGCAGAGTCCTTCACAAGTCACAAACATCATACCTCCAGTATGGGCACCGTGCACAAGCACCCCTTTAAAGACCAGAAAAGAAGAGTTGGGGGCCATACCTAGACTAGTTTCCGGTCCATCCACTGCGGACTTCGAATGATCCAAAGTTATTGGTGCGGGGATTAGTCTGGGAGGTGCTTTGAAAGATAAAGTCGGACGCGAACCAGTACATAGTTTACACGCCTTGTGTCCCGTCCACGGGACTCTCCAAAGTGGTTCGAAAACGCCCTCTTTGCTAGCGCATGGAGCCCATAGGGGCGTTCATTATTATTGCACTAGTCGCCCCTAGAGGTATTCATGACAACACCAACATACCTCTAATATAGGGGCGATCGCTAGTATGACGTTAATTAATTTCAAACCACGCCCACATTAAGTAGTATTAATATTAGACACCGGAAGTTAACGCACTTGTACTGGAGTGTCATCCGATGGGCGTTAGTTATCTTGGTGCGCGCGCGCGTGTACGTGTATGACGAAGTCACAAACGAACTGCTGGATACATGTAGGGCTATAGGCCGCTTGCAGACGCGTTCGATAATTGACGCGCGAAGGTGCACGACGCCATGTTATGGGACAAAATGTGCATGAATAGATATACGCCTGTCCCACAACATGGCGTCGCGCGCCTTCGCGCGTCGATTATCGAACACATCTGCAAGCGGTCTATAGGGCCGGCTAATGTTGAGTTTGTGTAACCAGGCGGATATGAACTGACAACGAAGAAACCCACCTATCCGCCGTGTGCAAGGGGAAAAGATCGCGGGCGGGATGAAGCCCGTTCATACGGGGTTTTATACGGGGTAATCATATACAATACCACTGCCCGTCTTGCAAGCAAGTGGACAGTCAGTGAGGTACGCGGAGGAGTATCAAGTCGGGGGGCCGGGGCCGGGCCGCAACATCCGCGGCGCCGAGATGTAGACATATTTTTTTCTCCGGATAAAAAATTCCAATAACTTATGTCAATTAACATGCATGCCTGAGGGGGGACAGTCAGTACATACAGTGATTGCAGTCACAGTGTAGCCTAGCCACAGATATCCGCGCCGACCACAGATAAACGCACGCGCCGACGGTGGTTCCATGACGTGAAAGGGCGCCACCAATCTTAGTTTGCAGAGGAGCGCGGTGCACCTAGCAACAAGACAAGTGCAAGATGGCTGCGTCCATGAGTCCGGAAGAGGCCGAACAAGTGGCATTGTTACCGGTAATTTTGTTCATTTTTTAACCGTTAGCTGTAGATAAAATGATAATAAACTATGATGAATAGGTAAGAAACTTAAACGCTACATAAATCATCAAAATTCGTGCCATTTTGGTGTATTCTCGACCTTCCATAATCTGCGCAGGTAACGCTTATTTTGCGACGCGCGCGAGCTGTTGCCACCTGTTGGGCACAATTGCAGAATACCCCGCCACTCGATCTACCCACCTCGTAGCCGGCTTCGAGGTCACGGTTGGTTGACCTCAATAGACATTCTCAGCGCTACTTGTATGTATAGTCGGACTCCCTATTATCGTGGCATCCCTATTATCGCGGCATGGGAAATTTCTCTTTTTACAGTGTCAAAACTCTTTCAAGTGGCGATTTTTATCCAGTTCACCAGTCATCAAGGATTTTCTACCGAGTTGTATAAAAAGGACGATTAAAAAATGTTGTGCCTTTCGGGACTTTTAACGATTTTAATAAATATTAACGTTTTCCAAAACTTGCAAAATTTTCCCTCACCGTGTCTGCTAAAAAAGGTACCGTTTATATTTTAACATAAATCTTTAATTGCGCTCTGTCCATGAAAGTTCCATTGTCTGGTTCCTATTCTTCAGCTGCAAATGTAAAATGAAGTCGAACGACGATATTTGCAGCGCGAAATCGTAACAACTTTTACGGGATCAAAATAAGCACCGCGCGTTAGCGAAAATAAAACGGCACACCGTGTAAAGTGAATGGCGCCCTCAATCGCCGATCAGTAGATGTGCCTCAGGGATTTGTGTTCTCCTTTCGGGGGAAGGGCAGGGTCTTAAGAAATCATCCTGCAGACATTTTGTCTTTAATCAACTTGAACGTTACAGAGAAAATATCAGACTTTATTCAGGGGGTGTTTTGGTCAAACATAAACTATGAACAAAAAAGTTGGGATCATTATAAAAAACACTTCCCGCATACCGCGATAATAGGGAGTCCACCTCCGTTCGCACACGCCGCGCATGTCGATTTTCACAGGCATCGTACACGGAATAAACCACACCACCCGTCCGATTTTTTTATATTAATTTAAAAAGGAAGAGTTATACTACACATAAGACAGGACAATTCTGGAAGGTTAGTGGGCAATCTCTATTCCGAACGAGAAACGTGATAAGTACCGCGATAATACGGCGTTCCATCCTACTGTGCATCATGCTCCATTGCACTCCCACTTCGTAACCGCGTAGCCGCCAACAGGGTAGTTGGTTTGGACCATTGAGGAAGGAATATATTCCTTCCTCCATGTTTGGACTTAGAATTTTTTCAGCAACTCCCATTCCTTTTGTGTTGCTTCGTTCTCAAGCATATTCAAGGGGACTCCCACTCTGTATCCGCGTAGCCGCCAACAGGGTGGTTGGTCATGTTGGTTTGGACTTAGAATTTTTTTCAGCAACTCCCATTCCTTTTGTGTTGCTTCGTTCTCAAATAATGGACCCCCACTCAGTATCCGCGTAGCTGGCATGGACTTGAATTGTTTCTTTTCCATTGATTCCAACCTCGTAGCCAGAGAATTTAGGGGTGTATTTCTGAGTGGCGGGGTATTCTGCAATTACTCCCCTAATTTTATACGCCTCTGCGTAGCGTAGTCCCATAAATGTAACTGAAATACTGGACTAGGCCTAGCCCATAAATGTGGCCAATTTACTGGACTAGGCCTACCTCCGTATATAAAAGCCACACTTCCACCATGTACAAAAACGTACATGTCGAACTTTGTCAAATTTTGATTTTCACATTTAGGCTTAGTTTGTAGTTTATTTTTGCTTTAGAAGCATAGGCCTACTCACCCTATGTATAGGCTAATCAGAGTGTGCTGCCTTTTTCAGATGTCTAATTTTCGTTAAATTTCAAGTTGAAATTTTGATACGCAAATGTGTGCAAACGAATCTGGAAATTTAACCAAAAATAGACATCTGAAACAGTTGATTTTCAAATCAGCCTTTCATTGCTCAATACAAAAAAGTTATGATTTTTTTTTTCCTGGACGTGACCATCGCCAACTGGATGCCTGTAGACTTCAACGATGTACATGTACTGCTAAGTACAGTGCCATGCACTTCTTGTAAAATCAAATCGTTGCATGTCTCAACAAATCGTCAACAACACCATGAAGTAACACTCCACTCCATATGAAGGTTGCCATGTTGCATCTATGAATGAATGACTGATTTCTCACTTCTTGAAATTGTAATGGTGTCAGAACATCATTAATGTGATCTACAACTAGTCTTAGCCATCTTAGCTACAGCTGTTCACTTACTGTCAAAAAGTACCAACAAAAATTCCCGGTGAATTTTTCCTTCGGAACCAAGCATTTGTTTACTCATGTTTACTAATGTTTGCTCATTTGTTGTGACTTCAGAAACCTCAGGGGCGTCTGAAGCTGGCCCAGTGCCTCCGCTGGGATCTGAGCGGCTTCAGCGAGGAGGACCACATGCGGGAGTCCATCCTGCTGGACTACCTGCATGACAGCCTCCTGTTTGCTGCTGGTCGCGGCTTCCCCTTGCACCAGGTGTGCGGCGTGCTGAACCTGGCCCGAGAAATGCAGGAGCAAACCATTGGTATGTACAATGTAGAAGTTGATGTCATTGCAGTGGATTCTATGGGCTCGGTGCACAAGTATCCTCTCGACAGTTACAAAACGAAGAGTTGGGGGAGACCACTGGGAGGGACATTCAAACGGATCGCTGACGAAGCCTGATGCTGATGCGAAGACGCATTCTGAGTAATAATAAGTCCTGGGTAATTTGCGCGGCTTCCTTGCAAATAAGGTGTTTGGGGACTATGGGCTGCGTGTCCAAGTACCCCCTCAATGGCCAGAAAGGGAGAGTTGGCAAAGAGAGGCATTTGAACGCATCGTCGACAATCCCTGACGATCACGCGAAGACGCTATGGCTTTGTGCACATTCAGGATAAATGTATTGTGTGTCCTTTGCGCTATACGGGCGTGAACCAGTATGCACACGCTGCGTGTCCCATCCACGGGGCTCCCAAAAGTGGTTAAAAAAACGCCCTCTCTTGTTGGCGCACGGAGACCATAGGCTAGCCCCTCTGGGACCGGCAAAAGGTCATAGGAAAATAAAATAAAACATAATTCATACACAAAACCTTTTTGTTTTTGCAGGCCAGCCGCTCAGCCACGCCATCCGACTGTACCGGCAGAAGTCTGTGGAGTACGCTAAGCGAGGTCGCATCTCGGACAAGAACCTGAAGATCTTTACCAGTCACTTCTTTGCTACATTCATGAGGCATTACAGACTCTATCAGTTTGTCTTCACGCGGCCCCGCGATCCCATGGTCAGCCAGCTGGGGCTGGAGGTCCAACCACCCCCGGATACTTTTGAGTTGAAGGTATAAGTTTTTTTCTCTGTCTTACATTTTTTTTGGGTATTTTGAGGTTCATTAGGAACTAGGATATGGCATACACTGTCTTCTGTTAGAGTGGTCAATGGCGGCTCCAGACTCTAAAAAAAATTGGGGGGGGGAGGGGCAAGGAAATAATTGGGGGGGTGTCCAAAAAAAATTCTCAAGCCTGTGTACGCACGCGTATCATTGTCAATGGTCCGGAAAAAGCCACTAGAGCAGCTTAGAGGTGTAGTTGTTTTTATGAATGAGAAATGTATCAAACCGCAGAATGGTGTATAACATGTGAAACAATGTACAAAGACGTTGGCTGCACACTATCTACGGCTGTATAATGCATGTGTGGCGAGTCTTGTCCAAATTTCCAATGTTTTAATGCTTTCATTGGCCCCAAATGTTTTGAATCTTCACAGCAAAGGAAATGAACATAATTAATCTACTTGTAGATAAAGTGTTCAGGGAAAACTGGGGGGGGGGGGGGCGATGGGGGGCAAACTGGGGGGGGGGGCACTTTTGATTGGCACTAGACTTGTGATTGACTTGTGGTTGACTTGTGGTTGACTTTTGATTGACTTGTGATTGACTTGTGGTTGACTTGTGATTGACTTGTGGTTGACTTGTGATTGACTTGTGATTGACTTGTGATTGACTTGTGGTGGACTTGTGGTGGACTTGTGGTTGACTTGTGGTTGACTTGTGATTGACTTGTGATTGACTTGTGATTGACTTATGGTTGACTTGTGATTGACTTGTGGTTGACTTGTGATTGACTTGTGATTGACTTGTGATTGACTTGTGATTGACGTGTGGTTGACTTGTGATTGACTTGTGGTTGACTTGTGGTTGACTTGTGGTTGACTTGTGATTGACTTGTGGTTGACTTGTGATTGACTTGTGATTGACTTGTGATTGACTTGTGGTTGACTTGTGATTGACTTGTGATTGATTGTGGTGGTTGACTTGTGGTCGACTTGTGGTTGACTTGTGGTTGACTTGTGGTTGATTTGTGATTGACTTGTGATTGACTTGTGATTGACTTGTGATTGACTTGTGATTGACTTGTGGTTGACTTGTGGTTGACTTGTGGTTGACTTGTGATTGACTTGTGATTGACTTGTGATTGACTTGTGGTTGACTTGTGGTTGACTTGTGGTTGACTTGTGATTGACTTGTAATTGACTTGTATTGACTTGTGGTTGACTTGTGGTTGACTTGTGATTGACTTGTGGTGGACTTGTGGTTGACTTGTGGTTGACTTGTGGTTGACTTGTGATTGACTTGTGATTGACTTGTGATTGACTTGTGGTGGACTTGTGGTGGACTTGTGGTTGACTTGTGGTTGACTTGTGATTGACTTGTGATTGACTTGTGATTGACTTGTGGTCGACTTGTGGTCGACTTGTGGTCGACTTGTGGTTGATTTGTGATTGACTTGTGATTGACTTTTGATTGACTTGTGATTGACTTGTGATTGACTTGTGGTTGACTTGTGGTTGACTTGTGGTTGACTTGTGATTGACTTGTGATTGACTTGTGGTTGACTTGTGGTTGACTTGTGATTGACTTGTATTGACTTGTGGTTGACTTGTGGTTGACTTGTGGTTGACTTGTGATTGACTTGTGGTGGACTTGTGGTGGACTTGTGGTGGACTTGTGGTTGACTTGTGGTTGACTTGTGATTGACTTGTGGTGGACTTGTGGTGGACTTGTGGTGGACTTGTGGTGGACTTGTGGTTGACTTGGGATCTGAATTGTGTCTGACTTGTGATTAATTTGTGATTAATTTGTGATTGACTTGTGATTGACTTCTGATTGACTTATGTTTGACTTCTAATTTACTTGTGATTTGATTTTTACAGACCAATTTTTATAAACCACTTAATATTTGGATATAATTCTTTGGAAGTGGTGACCTCAGTACATGTACTGTGCAAATTTTTTCACAATTTTTTATATATTTTTGAATTTCAAATATTTTTTGCTATCTGGTTAGGAAAGCAAACCAGAGCACATCTGGCAGTACAACCAGAAGTTGGCAGCCATCGAGAACGAAGAGCGAACCCGGATGGAATCCCTGCAATTAGAGAGAGACGAGCTGCTTAGACAGGAACCCGACACTAACGAGCCTCTGTGTGCATTGAATGAAGCTGGGGCACCACTCCAAGAGGAGGTAGGCAGGGTTCATGGGCTCCATGCTTGAACTAGCGAGGGCGCATATTTACCATTTTTCGCATGCATAATATTTTATTTATTTACATGAGTTTTTTTTTTTTTTATGCACTAAGTATTTTATTCTAAATGTGCAAAAAGCCATAGTAGTAAAAATGCACCACCTACTTTTCATGCATGGAGTCCGTAGTGGCTATTGGGCAAATGGGGAAAATTGAAGGCGGTGAAGATGAGACAAACACAAAGTGTATCTGTAGATTACAGTTTTCCCCAATAAATTTGCAATTTAAATTTGAATAGCATCTGGTGCGCTGACTTCCTCAAATGCTTGGCAATTTTCAATTCTCTAGACCAAAGAGACTGTTACTATATCACTTGATTTGGAGCAAGCCTTACTCAAGCAACCCCAGCTCTGGAATGGTCTGGCGTCTTTGTGCCATTCTCAAAGAAGGTGCTGAGCGTCTCTGTTATGTAACTATGCAAGAGCTTGCCCTGAATCACGTGATATAGCAAAAGTGTTTTTGGTCTGGAGAATTCAGAGTTAAAATGTGCCAAGCATTTTGAGCAAGTCAGCGTGCCAGACACTTTTCAGATTTAACTCCCAAAGGGTAAAGGTGACTTGCAAATGGCTTTTACTTTATTCTGCTTGCCTCTGCCAGGTCCTCTCTCGGGCGATCCGAGAGGCTACCAGCCTCCAAGGCACTTACACCGAGCGCCTGCTCCAGGCCAGAGTGGAAGAGACCCACGAGGATATGGACTACTACTTTGAGAAGACCGCACTGCCCCGCCCGGCGGCCCTGGGCCCGCCCCCGCGAAGCAAGTCCCCACCCCGCGCGCCGGCCAGAAGCAAGACGGCAAGCACCAAGAGCGGGGGAACCGGGGGGAAGAACTCCCTCGGCAGCGCGTTGCCCAAAGGATCAGCCAAGTCATTGCGATCCAAGACACCCAAGTCTGTTAAGAGCTAAGGGGCTTACATTTCAATCGGTGGGTAGAGATAATCGTCGGCAGGCAAGGAAATTGGTTTGTCTAATTCAAGAAATGCCACCAATATATCAATAAAAAGCCTGAAACACTACTAAAAAACCTGAAACTACCCTTTCAGCAATGTGTTTTCTGGATGTTTCAGACCAAATCCAGCACTTTTAATTTGTCAAATATTTTGAAAAAAAAACCCCTGAATTCAGGTTAAAACCTGAAAAGTGGCATCCCTGTAATTCGGACATGTACATGTACCCCTGGTGTAGTGGGAAATTTGGACTCTGTGAAATACGGACTCTTTGGTTGTATTGCGCATGCCTTAGTGAACATAATTCATGACTTAACCCCTCTCCAGACGCGACTAATTTCACCAAGTGCATTGTACACAAAGCACCAATGTTTTGACTAAAGCACAAATAGGTTTACTAACTAAATGATATTTTAGTGAAATGTTTTCTTCAAATTAGGTTTTGCCCTTCACCAATGTTTAAACACTGTATACTCAGTGATGGAAAAAAAATTCCATCTTATAACAGTTTATGGGGTACCTGCTGCTATGTACATCAGATTCGAACCAGCCAACCGATCCCGTTAGCTCGATGGTCGAGTGGTAAGACATCTGCACTAAAAAGCAGGAGGTCGTGGGTTCGAGTATACAGTGTTTGAACGTCGGTGAAGGGCAAAACCTAATTTGATTTAAATCACCCGACGCAAAATTCCATCTTAGGCCAAAAAAAAAAAATATTCGGTCTCTGGTCAGACCAAAGTTCCGGAATTGACGCGGCCACGCGGCTTTTTTTTTGTTTTGTTTTTTCTTTTTTTTTTTTTACTTCAAGCTTGGATTGTACAGACAAGGTGTCCTCATGTACATTGGTGTCCTCCATAATTTGCCTTGGTGCTTTCAATCATTTGCCTTGGTGCAATTTCCCATTCCTTGATGCTCTTTGGTAAAAAAAATTAAGGTGCAGAAATAGAGGGCGCTGTTGGAGCTACCGCGGAACATTTTGGAGAAAAAAAAGATCGACGCGCATGATTAAAATCGACGCGCGCGCTGACCAGAGACCGACTTTTTTTTTTTTGGCCTTATAATTAATTTTTTCTTCCTCTCTAATTTTTTGCTAGGCAAAACAAAAAAGTTGCAAGGCAGTATGTTCTGCTTAAAGTTACCCAGCCTGTGCTCTTGACAACTTTCAATTGTATGTTTTATTTAAATTATAAAAGCTACTTTTGTTTCTGTTTTGGACAATTTGAAACTACGCTTTCATTTCGGGTTGCTTTACGGCTCGTAACGCACAAAAGATACAGTTGAATCGCATTTTCTCAGTTTTGTGACCTGAGCATTATTTTTTTGCTTAGTGCCGCCGGTTCCATCAAGGCGTAAACAAATCGCAGGTCGACCTGATACCGCCCTTAAGGAAACAAGTGAGTGACCGTGTGAAATGTGATTGAAATGCCAACCGCAAGCATTATTTTAATTTGATTTCAAAAAAGGAAAGTTTACAAAGTGCTGTTTATCTGTTTATACTTCTGTTTACGCAACAAAAATTTTAGACAATCAAAAATTCATTTATAATATTGTCTTTATTAAATGATCGATAATTGTAACAAGGCCGCACGCGAGAAGCTGTGTGCCTTTTTTCATGCAAATTTACATCTCTTTAAGTGGGCACTGCATCCTGAAATCCCGAAAATTTTCATGTTTTGGATTGTTTACTTAATCCTATTTCAAACATTTGGTCGAAAGGAAACCAAACTAATGTCTTACCGTTCCTGAGAAAAAAGGTGAACAAAATACTTGGTTGTTTACATCAGATACGACGGAGTACACATGTGTTTTTCCTGTCGTTTTCAGTCAGTGTACGATACACGTTGTGTATGTCACATAAATCACACACAGCACCAATGCACAAATGTGGTTTCTTACACATCTGCAGAAGGCGAACACTTTACATTGCTGCGAGCGGGTCGCCGACAGATATTTCCGGCCTCACTCCTGCGCGTGTATATCTTTGATCCGTTCCGAATACCACAAAAGTTTTGCGTGTTGACACAGCCTCTGGCGTGGACTGGTTAAGAAGGGTGCATAACAACTAACCTGTGGAAGTTTCAGCGCAGTGGATACTTTTTGCTGTGCATTTTAAGCAAACGTACATGTTTACACAATGTTTTGGGTCTCTAACTGCACTCCGGTACTAACGCACATAACCATCAATATTAGTTTCCGTCACAGGGTATTTGATACCAGTCCTATCTGATTCTGAACTTTTAGTGAGTTTCTGTCATTAAATCGATACTGTTTTCTGGGTAACTGCAAATGATTGTACGTGGCTTTATGGAGATGTTTAAATAATAACTTGTAAATACATCTAAAATGTTTATATCTATGCAGAGAATTTAATGAAAAGCACAAAATTTATTTATACTCAGTGAACACGATGAATGATTGCAATTGAAGTTGTTTGGTTTATTTTTCTTAAAGCAGAAACTATGAGCATTTCCAACCACCAGACCATCTTTACAGGGAAGAATACAGTTGGCGCATGTGTACATGTACATGTAGGGAGAAATCTCACTTTGCACTCCCCCACACAAGCTAACCTAAATTTAGACTTTCAGATGGTTTTTGACATTTTTCGCTTTTAGATGGTCTCTGAAATTCTCAAGTGTATTATTAATATTGATGTTAACTAAACAAAACATTTCAACAAAGCATTTTTATATATTGAAGTATATATTTAACAATTTTTGACTGCTGTAATGTGGGATATGACGTTTTTTAACATCCGGGGGCGCATAGCATCCGAGGCGAAGCCGAGGGTGCTATTTGCCCAGAGGGGGTTAAAAATGGCATATCCCACATCACAGCAGTCAACAATTGTTTTGTTATATCGTGCCAATAAAATGGTTGAAGTAAGGAATAAATTATATCACTGCGATGTAGCCTTTGATAACTGAAGATTTTGATGTCCTGCCGGACATGAGACTGTGCGTTTGACGTTGCAGTTCTCATGGCACAAAGCTAGCAAGCCGGCAGGTTCCACATGCAGAGATGCCACAGGGTCTGCTTGAAAAAAACGGAACTGGGTCTGCTTGAAAAAAAAACGGAACGGCTGCTTGAAAAAAACGGAACTTTTTTGTGTGAAAAAGCCACTCCGTGTCCAACACAAAGTCCCCGTTGTCATCTTTATCTTGTAGCCAAGCCAAGTTCGGTTTATTTTTTAATTTTGCTTCTATGGCCTTTAAAGCTGTCGGTTCGTTCAATCACTTTGACTTTTTCCATATTGTAATATTTAGGCTTCTGCCTACCCGAATTTCCAACGTAATATTCGACACGAAACGTGCATGATTCCACAACACTGCTGTCGGTGTACATGATCCTTGCATGCACTACGCGATGCACTCAACGAAAACATGGTTGGTACCCGCATTTTTTGTATTCACATATATCACTGCGATCGGAAACCACCGATAGCTGAAATGATAGACTTGATTTCCAGGCTGAATGCTACGTGTGCTAAGCACACAACATGCCCGCACGCGGTGAAGCACGCGCGAGGCGCCGTTGTATACTGCGTGCAAGTACGTTGCTTATATTGCATGCAGGCTCGGCAACAACATACACAAAGACTGTTTTTAAGACTACTTCAACGAACGACGTTGTGCCATGCGTGTGCCTAAATGTACTAAATCGAGGAAAAAATCAATGCATTTCCGCAGTTTTTCTTCTCTTTTTCTGGTTAATTTGACGGCCGGAAAACCGGAATTTTGTGAGATTTTTTTAAAAAACCGGAATTCCGGTTAAAACCAGAAAAGTGGCATCTCTGCACATGCGCACAAAGAACGCAATGGGCTATCACCCTTAGTGTGTGACATGCATTTTTTTGTCCAGACACGTGGCCGTCCTAGACCAATAAAATTACAGTATCCAAGCACACGATATAACAATCAAGTTTATATCACATTTATTCTATAATTTATAGTTTATTTTAGACTAACAAAATGCATGAAGAGTTTAACATGTTGAGGGCACCATTATTAATACACTTCATCAATAAACAGAGTTCACTGGACAACAATAAATACGTTTAAAAGTTATCTTTCTTTTAGCGTGAATCGAAAGATGTTCTTTTACATGTTGAACATGCTATTTTTGCACATCTGTAAATAAATACTGATTCACGTGAGATATTTTTTCATCCCCAATAATTTGTTGCGTTTTTTAAAAATCAAATTCGAAGTGAATTTATCGCGCGACACAATATGACCCATACGTACATGTATTTCACCCAGAAATTGTTCCTTAAAGCTATAGTCCCATCATTTGTAATTAGTGCATTTTGTTCGTTTGAAGCAACAAAAGTGTTCAAATTCTAATGAAGGATACTGAACAACTTACTTGATGAAGTTTCAGCTCAGCTTCAGCTTCATATTCCGAGAAAAACAGCATTCTAGGATCTCAATTTAAAATCAAAAGTTGCTTAATCATGTTTCGAATTGTTTTGAATTGCAGCTTTACGCGATGTTGCGCACTGATCCAACGAATTATAGCAACCGCGCGCGCGCCTGTGCGTCGTTCCAATGCTTGTGCGCGCTGCGCCGAATAACAAAACGAACAACTAATTAAAATTTTCCTACGGTGCTTCTTAAGAAGCACCGTTGGAAATGCCTTCTTTCGTTGATTTCTTCAAAATGAGAGCTTGCCAGAAAGATTTATTTCACAGGGAGTTTAGTCCCCTTACAATCTTTCAACCAGTATGTTTTTCAACCATAATTACGCCGGTTACTTTTTTGGATAGCTGCAAATGATGGACTCGGGCTTTAACTGATTGGTTGTAGAGAGATTGACAAAAAAATTATGCGACAGATTTGTGCTAAAAGCATGCAACTTGGGCATTACAAATTCAAAATACATTTACATGTATACATGTCTCCAACAAGATCACTTATGACTCGAGGCATGTTGGGAGTGACATGAAGTTTCAACACACACACGGAGCCAAATCTCGCTGATTAAAACCATATGTCGTCATTATTCTGCCGTTGGCGGCGTCGACGCTGACGTACCTCTCCCCGTGTAGACTGGTCGGGGGCTTGCGTGGGCTCGTACACAGAATCGTCGGGAGTAGGCAGATGAAGTGAATGCATTGCACTGTCGAGGTTTGTGGAGTCGGCCTGTTCCTGCGGGGGATCAACGCGGTTGGTGGTGGGTGGCTGTCGCGGCTGTGCGTATCGCCCCGGGCGGGTCTCGGGGGCTGAGCTCACCCTGTGGTGCCTGATTGGTAGCCCCTGGGGGTGAGCTCTGGTGCTGGTCGCGCCGAGTCGTCTTGCGCCGGGCAGCGGGTTCTGCGCAATGTCCAGATCGGCGTGGGTGTTGCGTCCATTTCTGCTAACCTGCCGCTGTGGTCGCGATCTCAGCCGCGACCCACGCCACTGCGCATCATTTTCATCCTCATCATCTGTTCCCTCGTAATCGTCATCGGCGTCGTACTGATCTAAAGGCTCTCTGCTCGGATCCTCATGCGCATGATCTCTTCCTACCCCTGCCGACCGTGACTTGGTACGACCCGGTCCACCAGCTGGCACAGATTTCAGGCCTGTACCACTTTCCTTTGGGGGTGCCCCATCAGCTGCTGCCGTCTCATCTTTCCCAGGGTCAGAAGCCTGCTGATCCTCTACAGTTGCTGCTGCACCTTCGGGCCGGGCAGCGATCTTCAGTCCCGCAATGCCCTTCTTCGGGGCGCTGACCAAATCCCGTTTGATCCGACGTCGACGTGAGGGGTCGTTCCTCCTCATCTGTACCATATTGTCCAAGTCGATGACGTACATGTACCCAGCGACCAGCAGCTCAAACGTCCGTTTCTTGGCGTTGTAGTTCTCTTCCAGTTCCACGTTAGTCCGCTCGTCGTACTGCCACCATCCGTTTCGACCCTCGTAAAACCACGAATAGTGTTCCGTCTCGGCGTCAAGATCCAGTCCTTTGCCACACACATCCTTCTTGCTGACGAGAGTTGGATTGGTGAAGAATTCAACAGGAATCCCTTGTCTGCAGAGGGCGCACCGACTGCTCTGGTTAGCAGCCCCTTTGACACAGAGGAAGCAGAAGATGTGACTGCATGGCAGTTTGACTGGATGGATGCAGGTCTGGAGGCACACTGGACACTCAGGAATTTCACCGGGTGAAATGTCACCTTTGTTGACAGCATCTGCTGAATCTGGAACAAAAAAAGTACAAAAACAAGATTATGTTTTGAATACTAATTGGGCAAGCCTCGGTATGTTGCTTGGTTCATGGGTAGCACTAGCACTAGCACTTTTTGTAGCAGTAAAAAATGAATGAAAAGTTGATAGCCCATCCACATACACGGTCTTCGCAAGCCAATCATCACAGTATGCAGCTGTTTGGTGCATGATTTCACACCCTGTCGATACCCCCCCCCCCCTTACATACATCATTACACGACCATTGTGATATTTCAGAAGGCCATACTAGGCCTATTACATAGTATTAGTTCAACATTACATTGTGCTTGTGTGTACATGTTATTTGTCATGTTTGTCAATGTCATGTTTGTAAACATCATCATACATGATTTTGTCATAATCACAATGTGTTGCAAATCTACTGCCCACAAACTCACCAGTGACTGTGTTCTCTTTCTTCAATGATGGAGCTGAGGAGCTTCTCTTGGGTGACCTTTCGGCCATCGTCCTTGGCAAACAAATGTAAACCAAGGAAGAAAAAATAATAATTTAAGAAGAGCTGTCTCGTCTTGGTGAGTACAACAACCAGCTAGAGAACTAAACATTCGATTCAACTCCGCGGTATTGTCGATTAGAAGCTATCGAAGCTTAAAAAAAGAGAATCGATAGCGTGGAATCGATTACTTTGCTAGCTCGAAAAGTACGTCTTTGAACTTGCAAAATATTATGAATTATATTTTCCAACTGACTGGCAATGATCGTACTTACAGAAAAATCCCTCATGTTTTTGTTAAATCTGTTAATTTTTGAGCGCCAGTTTAATATCAATTTTAAAGATGTAGGCTACTGTCTATGCTATTTTTTTAGTTCCACTCCAAACAAATTATTCCAATTTGCTGATTTTTCATCAGTACAAAAAAACCCCTCACTTTTGAATGAGACTTCGACCGAAAATAAAATCGTCCTTTTTAAAGCTCTTTTTAAGAACTTTTATTTTACAAATTTCACTTTATTTTCTACCCGACAGTAGTTCAGCTCTTCAGATGGATTTTTTTTTTTGTATTTTCGAATCTCAAAAGTAGTCCAAAATATTTTTTTTCAAAGGGTATTATATGCCAACGAATTGTTAAAAGTAATTTTTCGTAAAAACAAAACATTAAGCATATTAATATAGAGAGAAGAAAATATCGAATTTGTTAAAGGTTTTCGATACCAACCATTCCGATGTCAATTTGGTATCGATAACTAGGCTCCATGTACATGTACTTCGACATCTCCACAACTACGCACAACGAAATAGTTCTCAGATGTCTTTACTTTTTTGGATTATAATTTTTACAGCTGCCTTTGCAAGTCAAAAACCGGTTTAGAATATTTCCCTATTAAGAAAATATTCCGAGAAAGAGAAATTATGGGCATTTAGTTGCTACTGGAGATTCGATGGATTAATACGCACTGTGAAGCGTCGGAACTGCCGCCTGCATTGTGGGATTCCCCTACTTCCGGTAGTACATGCGGGAAAAGATGGCGGAATACGATCTTACGTCGAAAATTGGCCAGTATTTGGACCGGCATTTGGTCTTCCCCTTGCTGGAATTCCTGTCGGTAAAAGAGGTAGGTTCTTTTTAAATAATACCTTGTTTTTAGATCAATTGATTAATTCAGTTGTTGTGAACGATTATTAAAATAAAGGACCGGAGTTTACTACCGTATGTTGACCATGCGCGCGCGCGGACAGTAATGCAATTGCAATTTGGAATGTCGGACACTTCGCCCCATTTCCACGTCGCCCCATGTCACTTCGCCCCTAACCACTTCGCCCCATCCCCACTTCGCCCCATTCCCACATCGCCCCATCCCCACTTCGCCCCATTCCCACTTCGCCCCATTCCCACTTCGCCCCATCCCCACTTCGCCCCATCCCCACTTCGCCCCAGCCGTTACATGTAAAAAAAAAAAAAATTCTCATCTATTTTTTTGGCTTAAAAAAAACAATTTCAATAGATTCACTAATTGCTAACCAACGGAAAGAATTAGCCCATCACCAAATGAACAATTCATAACCAACCTCTCAAGCTAGGCTCTCCCCTACCGAGAAGCTTGAAGTAAAAGACCCAACTTTGTTCCCAACCCCGGCGGCTATACCAACCCGTCTCCCACTTATCTGAGAACGACAATACCTTTGACCATGGAGGAATAAGAACACCCTAATTTCACTCTTGGAGGAACCAATCTCATCAATGAAGTTGTAAGTGTCACATATCAGACAAATTTTGACGGAACATTTTCCTCAAGGCAGTGAGTTCCTTTTAACTCACTGACCCATACCTACATGCATGTACGGGATTCTTTTGAATCCAGCGGCTGATGATTGTATTCACAAGCCAATAGGAGAGGCGTCTCTGAATGGGATAGAGCCATCATTTCTCTCATCTGTGTCTCGAGCACCTCATCAGAGCGTTTGTATTTTTCCTGAGTTTCTAGAAACTCAGGAAAAATACAAACGCTCTGATGAGGTGCTCGAATTGGGAGCATTTATTATCTGGGGTCTTTGGCAGTTTATTTGGTCTGCACCCCTAGCCTTCACCTTTTTCATACTACATGGGGCGAAGTGGGGATGGGGCGAAGTGGGGATGGGGCGAAGCGGGGATGGGGCGAAGTGGGGATGGGGCGAGGCGGAGATGGGGCGATGTGGGGATGGGGCGAAGTGGGGATGGGGCGAAGTGGTTAGGGGCGAAGTGACATGGGGCGACGTGGAAATGGGGCGAAGCGTCCGACACCCGCAATTTGCATTGCACATGCAGCTTTAAGAGTTCGTTGACCAGTTTCCAGACAACTGATGTCATGGATGTTAAAAATCGTGGATGTTAAAATACCGGATTATTTCCATTATTGAGGAAAAAATGGAAATAATTGGGGAAATTAATACATGAATGATCTGGCGCTTAATTGTCATGATTGTTGTTGACTTTTGGGTTGATTTTTTACAACTTAAAAAAAAAATAGGAAAAAACATGAACAATATTGCAACCTGACGCACTTTTTGTCTACGCAGAGGCTATCGTTACGGCAGCCGTAACGCATTTCCCATTTTCTATCGTTACGGTAGACTGCAACTTTTATAAAAACATGAGAGGAAAATATAAAATTAGAAGGAAAAAAGTGAATTTGAACGTTATGAAATTCGGACTTTATTTCCCTTTTAAAAAAAATCCTCCAAAGCCTCAGGTTAAAAAAGAAAAAAATTCGCGTGCAAAACTGAGATGCGAACCCGCAACCTCGCGGTGCAAAATCCTACCCTCTATCGACTGAGCTGTCGCACTGCTCGCTAAAACATGGGGAAACAAATAATTATATACCTGCGTGTGTATCAAAAAAGTATCGTAGAGGGCGCTAAACAACGGCTGCCGTAACGATAGCCACTTCGTTTAATTTTGTAGAAAGAGGGCAGGGCTTTGATATACATGTATGAGGGGTTAAAGACGACGATGACAAAACAGAAAATATATTAAAAATTTTAAAAAGCAAGATGGCGAACTGCAAAAAAAGGTAGAAAAGTCACATTTTCTTTGAAAGTGCTTTCAAAATTACAACTAGGCCTAACATGAGTTTATCTGAAGAAACAAGACTGCTTTAGCCTGCAAAAGTCTCTTTGGAACTGGACAGTCATCTGCAAAAGTCAGTTTTGAACAGAACTCGTAAAAATAGAGGTGTCCTAAATTACCAGTTTTATTGCAACTTCAAGAATTCGTTGGCCAGTTTCCGGAAAAACTTAATTGTCCTTGGGGCATTTGATCTTGAGACGAACTTAGATGAAATTTATACCCCAGCATATTTCTACAAAATATTTATTTTATTGCTTTATTTATTGGTTTATTTCATAAAAAATCATATTGCAGCCAACTGCTGAATTACACGAAATTTACAGCATTGGGGGCCTAATTCGCCTGTAGACTTCATAGCCAGCTAGGAAATTGGCGTCAGGACACGACACGTACATTCATTCAGAACTTTTCATGACTGTTTGTGGGTTGGTTTTCTCTTTGCAGATCTATCATGAAAGGGACATGCTTGAAGGCAAGTTGAATCTGTTGAGCAACACAAAAATGGTAGGTTAAAAAAAGTGGACCCCTGAATTTCTGGAATGACCCATAACCATTTGTTCAATTGTTTCACCCGAGATGCAAGATTTCATGTGCATTGTGCAAATTAATTAGCGAAGACTTTCTTGCATCCTGCAAATTATTTTAACTTAATTGTCACCTTGTTCCAAATAAGAAAAGACATACGTTCATCTGTTTCAGTTCTGATTTCACGGGTTTGAATTGTTCGTAGTGCATTTCAGTGACCTTGCTCCTACTTAAAGGTAGAGTAGAGCGGTTGTCATTTGTTTTCGTTTGAAGCAACAAAAGTGCTCAAAATCTGAAGGCGGGTGCTGAACAAATAAGTTTGAGCTCTGTGAATGATGAATATTCCGAAGAAAACAATATTCTAGGATCTCTATTTCATTTCCAAAGTTCCCGAGTCATATTTTGATTTGCGCTGGAAAGCAGCATCCGGAACACGATCTCATTCAGCCGACTGGAGCTGTGCGATCTCACGCACTGTACCGTCGAATAATAGCAACTGCTCGCACATGTGCGCTGTATCAACGCTTGTGCGCGACCACTCACAGATTCGCCCAATTACAACCAACCACTAACGGAAATTTCCAAAAATGCGCCACTTGACCCGTCTTTGGAAATGACCTTCTTTTATCTCAAAATGACAGCATGCCAGAAGGTATAATTTCATAGGGAGTTTTAATAATGCCATTACTATCTTTAAACCAAGAAGGCCACTTAACAATAATTTGGTCAGTTACTTTTTGGGTAGCTGCAAATGACCTACTCCACCTTTAAAAGTGAGAGCTTTTTGCCTTGTAACAGATAGTTTTTATGTCTTTCATTCTGAAACCTCTGCCCTGTACTGCCTTTCACATTGCACTGATTGATTGATTGATTGATTTTGATTGATTTATTGATTGATTAAATCCATGTAGGTGGACTACATCATGGATGTCTACCGAAGCTTACATCCTGACAAGGAGGTCCCCCCTGGTAAGTTGTGTCCCCCCCCCAAACTCAACAAGCTCCGCCCCCTTCAGGCATGCAACGGATCCTCAGATCCGCTGATTTCCTCGTTTTTTACTTGTCATGAATGTCATCACAAAGTCTTGAGTGGTTTGGAATTTCCTCATATTTTTCTAAATTCCCAGTTGCATGCCTGCCCCCTTTTACTCTCCCCCACCCCCTCCCCAACCCACCCCTCCCTCCCCAACCCACCCCCTCCCTCCCCCCTAAAAAGTTGTGCATCCACAGCACACACACATATTTGATCATCCACTGACCAGCAATTTTCCGATTTAAATAATTATTTGGAAAATGTGAGCAGTCTCAAGAAGATGAAGAAAAAGTCCATGAAATTTTTTTTGATCTGATTTCTTTGACATTCAGGTGTATGGCTATGGCTCACAATAAAACTGATATACAGCCTGAGACAGATGCCTATTTCGTTATGCTGCTGCGGCTGCTGTCTATGAAGGCTATGGCTGTTGTTGTAAAGTCAAGTCTGTCATGAGCCAATATGGCCCATCAGGCCAGCGTTTATCTCCGGTTTCCTTGGCATGAAACGACAGAGAATATTTCTGATCCCCCTGGTTAGGATGCCAGTCCATCGTAGGTTACTCCCCTGCTATTGCCAGTACCGATTTGTACTCCTGGGTGGAGAGAGGCAAGTGGGGGTGAAGTGGCTTGCCCAAGGACACAACCTACTTCCAGCAGCTGGATTCGAACCCCTGACCCTCTGATCAGAGTCGTGAACTGTAACCACTTAGCCACACTCCCGCTGGCTGCTGGCTGACCATAAAACTCCTCATTGACCTTCAGTCCACGAATAAAAACTGTCAAATTTCATTGATTTTTTTACTTCTGTTCTCAGACATGTACGACAAGCGCACCGTTGTCGTCGAAGAGATGAAGAAGCTGATGAACCAGACCAAGCCCATCCTTGAAATCTTCTCTGAAGAAGAGGTCATCTCCAAAATCCAGGAAACGCGGGACGGCCGCATTCTCTTCGACTACATGGCTACAAACCACGGGGTAAATAAAAAACAGAAAGGGACACAAAAAGTGTCGACATTTGAGTGGTAGCGAATGCCAGTGGGTGGTTGCGAGTTTCAGGAACTCGCCTCGTGGGAGAGGGAATACTCGCAAGCACTTGTTGGCACTCACAGCTGGCAGGGGGCGCTCACAGTTGCTTGCCGGGTTTTGGACATGTTCAAAACTTGGTGAGGTCCGCACGTACTGGCAGGATACTCGCAAGGTCACTCGCTAGTATTGAGCGATGTGGCGCAGAACGCAGCAGTGCGTTTACAACCAGTCGGTGCTTTATCAACCGTTTAAAGCCACCCATGTGACAGGCTCTCAACCAATAGGAATGGTATATCGACCAATAGGAATGGTATATACAGGGTGTTTCAATAAAAAGGAAACCCATCTTCAAAGAATGAGTATGGACAGACGATATGTTTACTGGCTATAAAACTGGTATCATCTGAAAGCGTAATCTCTATGCTTTTCAATGATACTATGTTTAGGTTTTCTGAGTCATGCATCACTGAGCATCATTGTCTTGAAAACTGGATGCAAAAATGCAGTTGGTTTACTTTCATAAAAAAAATAACACTGGGCACGGTGTGCCTATTGTTACCGAAATGTCTGTGAAATGGTTTGCATGTTAATCCTCAGGAAAATGGCACACTGTTTTGAACGTGGCTTGGTCAAAACGAGAAATTCATGACAAACAATAAAATCCAGTTTTGAAACCAACCCGACTTGTTTTTTGGTTTCTTTTTATGCACTCGTGTCTTCTTCTTGAATACTTATTCTCATGCACACCATGCCCATTGTGTTTGACATGAAAGTGAACCAACTGCAATTTTGCATCAAAATCTCATGACAGTGGCGCTCACTGATGCATGACCCTGGAAATGTAAACAAGGTATCATTGAAAAGCATAGAGATTACGCTTTCAGATGATAACAGTTTTATAGCCAGTAAACATTTAGTCTGTCCATACTGGTTCTTCAAAGTTGGGTTTCCTTTTTATTGAAACACCCTGCATAAATGCAAACAGCTTAGTGATTTTTCATCGTTCTTGAACTCGCCACCAGTAGTGAATTGTCTTTTTTGTTGTCGTTCTTTCTTTCAGTTCCGTCAGGACATGTTGGACACACTGTACAAATTTGCCAAGTTCAAGTATGAGTGCGGAGACTACAGCACAGCGGCTCAGTACTTGTATTTCTTCAGAGTATTGGTGAGCTTATATGTCAATTTTAAATTAAAGTTTAAAAAATTGCTTCGGATCCAAAAATTGTCGTTTCATATTTTGAATTGCACCCTGTTAGGATAAAACCCCTTTAACCCTAACGTACCTGAATCCATCAAAATCCACACCCCTGTTTTGGAGGATTTCGGCAGATTCAGGATACCTCCATATTGAAAAAGTTGGGGGATTTTGATGGATTCAGGACATGAAGCCCAGCGGTACTGCAGGATTTTGATGGATTCAGGATACCTCCATATTGAGCAGTTGGAGGACTTTGATGGATTCAGGATCTCAACAGATTTACTCCTGGCTTACTGGTGGATTATGATGGACTCACTGGCCGCCAGATTTTTTTTGCATGGCAAAATTGATGGATTTTGGCGGATTCAGGATACTTTCTAGTAAATATACCGAAGGGGTTAGAGTTAAATCGGATTTTCGTTCAGCCAGTTAGTGTATGTGAAGTCGAGGTCACAATGGATGGGTTGTCCTGGCAGTTTGAAGAGTTTGACTGATATTGTCAATTTTTTTTTAAACAACATTTAATGATGGTTTTCTTCCAAATGATTTCAGACAGAATAATTCAAGAAGTATTTTGGACTAGTCCTGTCCTCACTCTGAGTAAGGTTTTCCTCACTAAATGGGTAGGATAATTTTGGGGTAGTTACCATTGTTCATACTTCCCTTTTTTTAAACCTTAAGGGTGCGTTCGAGCGTGCTACTCGTGTTAACACGAGTATACTCCTGAGCGCACGAACGGCAGGAGTACGACCCGCGGGTTAGCAAGAGTATGCTCTCCGTCATTCCGGGAGTACACTCTCGCACTGAGAGTAATGCGCACGCAGCATTTTCCTGCACTCGGGAGTAGCAAGAGTAACATGCTCGAATGCACCCTAAGGGTTCCACTACAGTTTTAACCTTAGTTTTTTGATAAGTAAGTTTTTGAGAACCTGGGAGAATTCTTGAAGAGTGAAGATGAAGGAGGTCGTGTTTTTTGTTTTCTTCATCTGAACAGATCTCGCAGAACGACAAGAATGCAATGCCGGCTCTGTGGGGCAAACTTGCCTCGGAGATCCTGAAGCAAGACTGGGACCAGGCACTGGAGGACCTCAACCAGCTACAGGAAGTCATCGATTCTAATGTGAGTGGGTCAAGTTGGGTTGGGTTTGGCTGGCTGGCCTGGCCTGGGCTGGACTGGGTTGGGTTGGGCTGGGCTGGGCTGGGTTGGGCTGGGCTGGGTTGGGTTGGGTTGGGTTGGGCTGGGCTGGGCTGGGTTGGGTTGGGCTGGGTTGGGTTGGGTTGGGCTGGGTTGGGTTGGGCTGGGTTGGGTTGGGTGGGATAGGATGGGATGGGATAGGGTTAGGTGGGATGGGCTGGCTTGGGTTGGGTCAGGTCGGGTTGAACTGGGCTGGTGATTGGTAAGGTTGGGGTTTGGTTGGCCTGGGCTTGGCTGCATTTACTTGGCTTGGGTGCGTTTTGGTGGGCTTGGCTGAGCAGGGCTGAGGTTGGTGGGGTTGGTCTAGGTTGGGTTGGGATGATCTGAATTGGGCTTGGCTAGGCTACATGTAGGTTGGGCTGGGATGGAATGGGTTGGGTTGGATTGAGGTGGGTTGGGTTTTGTTGGGTTTGGTTTGGTTGGGGCTGGACGGGATGAGATTGGTTTGGTTTGGTTAAGGGGTTGGGTGCGGTCGGGCTGGGTAAGGTGGGATGCGATGGGGTTAGGTGGGATGGGTTGGCTTGTGTTAGCTTGGGTTGGGTCGGATTGGGTTGAGCTGGGCTGGGGATGGGCAAGGTTGGGTTGGGCTGGGCTTGGCTGCATTTTACTTGGCTTGAGTGTGTTTTGCTGGGCTTGGCTGAGCAGGGCTGAGCGTGGTTGGGTTGGGCTTGGCTAGGCTACATGTAGGCTGGGTGGGGCTGGGTTTGGGCTGGGTTGGACGTGGCTGAACTAGGTTAGCTGGGTTGGGCTGAGTTGAACAGGTCAGAACTGAGCCATATGGCGTGGGGTTTACCAGTGTACCATGACTTAGTGTGCTCTCTTCTTTTTACTTCTGCAGACCTTTGTCACACCACTGCAGTCATTACAGCAGAGGACGTGGCTGATCCATTGGAGTCTCTTTGTGTACTTCAATCACCCACAAGGGAGAGATTTCATCATCGACAAGTTCCTCTACCAACCAGCGTTAGTCAGATTTTACTATCATAATTTGCCCGTTATGACTACTGTATTTTAAGCTATTTTCTGAGACTGAGACCACTTGTAGAAAAAAATCACCAGAGATTATCTTTTTTGGCATGCTCAGTTGTTGTGTGGTTAAGACATCTACACTAGTAAACGCATGGTTTTTAGTTCGAGTCTCTCCCAACGCCTATGTAAGCCTGGGTGGATTTTCACACAGGCTTTCAGAAGCGCTGAAGAGTAATGATCATTAAAATCAAAGTTGGTTGATATCAGTTTTCTTTTTTTTAAATTTTTTTCTTCATATTGGCAGGTACTTGAACGCGATTCAAACCACGTGTCCGCACATCCTGCGATATCTCACCACAGCTGTCATCACCAACAAGAACAGACGGCGGCAAGTCTTGAAAGACCTGGTCAAAGTCATCCAACAGGTTAGTCCAAAAAAGAGTTGTTGAAAAGGTTGGGGGTTTTTTGGTTGCTGAAGTTGACATGGCTTTTTGGGAGTGTGGCCTAGTGGTTAGAGTTTGCGACTCATGATCAGAGAATCAGGGGTTTGAAATTCCTGCTGCTTGGTCATATGTTGTGTCCTTGGGCAAGCCGGAGATGAAATCTGGCCTGATGGGTCATGTAGGCTTGTGACAGACAGTCCAAGAGCTAGCGGGAAAAGACCACACAAGCTTGCTCGGGTGGGACTGGAACCCACAACCTCCAGGGCCAGCCAGCCAGTTCAAAAGTGGCTTACAAATCGTTGATAAGTTGATAACTTTGTTGCATCAAACAGGAGACAAACAAAGTTTTCTGGAAGTTCTTTTTGATCAGTCACAGACAGTCGGAAATTCAATCCACCTCCCCTCCTAGAACTTATACTCGGGCTAGTCACCAACAGTCGCAGTATATTTCTTGTAGGCACCGTGACTAGTCAAACCCCGTCAACAGACTGAAGTCAAGTAACTGGCAGGCACAGCTGGCTTATCAATCACCTACAGTCAAAGCATAGCTGTATCAAGTTACATAAACGGTCACAGCCAGTCAATCCTGCTTTATGTAGGCAGGGAGTACTTGAATGTTAAAATCAGTCACTGGATTTATTTCGACTGCTGGGATGGCTTTCTTGAATTAGCCAGCCAGATAGGGAGGATTAAATTAAAGATGTAGTCCATCATTTGTAATTTGTGCATTTTGTTTGTTTGAAGCAACAAAAGTGTTCAAAATCTAATGAAGGATACTAAACAACTAACCTGATGAAGTTTCAGCTCAGCTTCAGCTGTATATTCCGAGAAAAACAGCATTCTAGGATCTCAATTTCAAATAAAAAGTTGCTGAATCATGTTTTGAATTGTTGCTATACGCGATGTCACGCACTGATCCGACGAATTATAGCAACTGCGCGCGCCTGTGCGTCGTGCAATACTAATTTAAATTTTCCAACGGTGCGTCTTAAGACGCACCGTTGGAAAGGCCTTCTTTCATTGATTACTTCAAAATGATAGCTTGCCAGAAAGATTAATTTCACAGTGCACTTACTATCTTTCAACCAAGTATGTTTTTCAACAATAATACGCCAGCTACTTTTTCGGATGGCTGCAAATGATGGACTATAGCTTTAAGCCATACTCAAGTCTTTTGTCCTCTTTGACTTATGTTTTCTAGGAGTCGTACACGTACAGAGACCCCATCACAGAGTTTGTGGAGGACCTCTACGTCAACTTTAACTTTGACGGAGCGCAGCAGAAGCTTCGAGACTGTGAAACGGTGAGTTTTGACTTCAGATTTCTTTTCTTTTTCCCAGCTTCTCTTGCTGCAGTGTTACAACTGATAATGTAGTTAAACCAACGGATAACGTGTCACCAACCAAATTGACCGATATTGTATCACTAACCGATAATGTAACAAAAATTGACCGAAAATGTACTACATTGTCAGTTTATTGTTGTTACATTATCGGTCCTAACAAACCGATCATGTAAAAAAAATTACCGATAGTGCAGTAACGTTACTACACTATCGGTCAATTTCGTTACATTATCAGTTAGTCATAAAATATCGGTCAATTTGTGTGACATTATCGGTTGGTGATACGTTAGGCCCCCAAAAAAGTGACGCGTTTTGTTTTTTTTCTTTTACCTGATTTTTTTGCTTCAAATGTCGGCTGATGACTGCAAATGGTGCCCGACTAAACTTAGTGCAAATATATGGGAGTCCAGAGAGGCCACATAAAGCTTATTCTCGACCACAACCCAATCTAAAAACACGTTAAAATTGTGCAGCAGCAGGATTCCAGTCAAACCAGTGAGTTTGGCGGTTTTGAGACATCATCTTTCATTGAAATAAAAACTTTTTCATTTTGCCGACGCGCATGGCTACGGCGACGCGCGCTCATACCAGAAACCGGATACTTTTTTTTTTTGGCCTGATCCGTTGGTTACTACATTATCAGTTGTAACACTGTAGTGATGTTGTGTTCTTTCCATAGTAGAACATTTAAGCATGATAACCAGACGATATCGATTCTTTTCATTGGACGCAGGTTTTGATCAACGATTTCTTCCTGGTGGCCTGTATAGAAGACTTCATCGAGAACGCTCGCATGTTCATCTTTGAGACGTTCTGTCGCATCCACAACTGCATCAGCATCAAGTGAGTCCAGCATGTGGAATATTCATAGTGCCCCAAAATTTAAAGTAAAAAAGTCTGTCACGAGCCTTTGTGGCCCATCGGGCCGGCGTTTATCTCCAGTTTCAGTGGCATAAAACGACTGAGAATATTTCTATTCCCCCTGGACGGGATGCTAGTCCATCGCAGGTTACTCCCCAGCTAATGCCGATACCCATTTATACTCCTCGGTGGAGAGAGGCAAGTGGGGATGAAGTGTCTTGCCCAAGGACACAACATACGGCCAGCAGCTGGATTCGAACCCCTGACCCTCTGATCATGAGTCGCAAACCCGAACCACTAGGCCACACTCCCCCACTAAAATTTAAAGTGCTCCCTAAAAAGAATGTATTCTAGAGATGGGCCATTCTGTAAATTTGGGGTCCACTATTTTTCCTGTCCCTGTTACGTCTGGCATCTGTGGTTGTATAGCTCTCGATGCACTCCTTAATGCAGTCGTCCTCCAAGAGTGTTTATGAATAGCAAACTACCTACCCAACATATCAGAAAAATCGTTTGAAGTCATTATGATACTTGAATGGCAAATTACAAAGTACCAAAGGTAGCAGGGGACAGCAAAAATGTCACACTTGGATCCTAAATTTATAGAATGACTGAGACGTACATTTCCACTGTAAGCAAAATCACGAAATGCATTTTAATAGATATTGGTCAACAATTCAAGCTGAAAAAAAATCTCTGAGTTATTTCCTGCTTTTTTTTCCATTTACCTCCTCTAACAGCATGCTTTCTGATAAGCTGAACATGGTACCAGAAGAGGCAGAGCGCTGGATCGTCAATCTCATCCGTAATGCACACCTGGACGCTAAGATTGACTCCAAGTTGGTGAGTAGCAAAACCAACGTTGAATGAGGCATAGCTCAATTTCAGCTGCTGTGCCAACCAGGGATGTAGTCGAGTCCATCGCAAGTCCCTGCAAGTCCATCACAAGTCCTCCAGTCCCAATCCAACTCACAAGCTATCCAAATGAGCTTCGACAAAGGCAGTCCCTTGTTATTGTTCATCCACTGCTTCTTGTGAAGGGACTTGTGTTATACTTGTGATGGCCTCAACTACATCCCTACAGCCGATTTCACGAAACTTTGCCCAATGGCATAACTCCACTTGCGCAACAATTTATTGCGTAACTTTTGCGCAACATTTCACGCGGAGCATCATTTCAGTCATGACACATGTCATGAAAGTTTCATAGTGCGTAAGTCAGTGACTTGCGCAACAAATAATGGCGAAACTGGCACAATTATTCTAGGTGGTGTAAGTTGTGGCGTAGTGACTCAAACTATTTTACTAAAATAATAAATAAATAATGCATCTGGCTTATAAGTGAAAATGTAATAAATATGTGATTGATAATAACTCCTAATTAAATAAAATCAGCCCTCACATTTTTCTTATTTTTATCTCAAAGGGTCACGTGGTGATGGGTTCACAAAACGTGTCGCCATACCAACAGGTCATCGAGAAGACCAAAAACCTGATCTACCGGAGCCAGGCACTGGCCAGTAACATCGAGAAGAGAGACGCGTCGAAAAACGCCACTTCAAAACCGGTAGGTTCCTTTACTAATGGCCAGGGAAAACTCTTTTAACAATAGGTTTTGTCATACTCGTTTTATAAGTAGTGGGTTCTTTTTCAAAGATATGTGACGAGACAAAATTTCACGTTGCATACCTTGTGCTCTTCATAAAAAAAATTTTTCAAATGTGTACATTTTGTTTTAACTACACCTTATATAGGGTATACAAGGAATGAACTGGCAAGAGAATTAAATTATTGATTTCTATGACTAAGGGAATAAATGTGTGCTCCGGAGGTTTTTATCACTCGTTTAATACCGCTTAGAGTCTGGGTGCTGATAATTACCCGAGCCGGAGGCGAGGGTAATTATCAGCACCCAGACTCTAAGCGGTATTAAATACCGACCGATAAATACCGACCGAGCACATATTTATTCCCATTCATAAATACCTTATCCGTAAAAAAATATCAAATAATTCGTTCAAAAAATCCCGATTTTGTTCAAAATAATGGAGTGTTCAGCTGGCGAGTAAGACTAGCAAAATAATGGAGTGTTCAGCTGGCGAGTAATATGTAAACAACCCTTTTATGGAGATTGACGTGCACGTAACATGTTCTGCGCGATGTCACGCAGAACGCACCTGGGGCGTTGCGTTTTGAATTTAGAACTATAAAATTCTGACTCGCTTGTAGTGTTGCGCATGCCTATGTGAGGAACGTTCAACCAATGAAACGGTAAGAGATACTGGATTTTTAGGAGTCCACATTTTATTGTGACACTGGAAAAGTGTTTAAGACCAGCTAGCCATGTCTTTATCATCCGTTTAAGACCGGCCACGTGACGGGCTCTCGACCATTAGGAATAGCTAAACTGTCTGAGGTATTTATGAATAGTAAGTAAACACTGATTTTTCTTCGACTAAACTTTTCTTCTTTAATTTACCAGCAACAACAAGCAGGGAGTTCGATGTGGGGAGCTGACATGTAACGGCCGTTTACTGCACTCTCAAAAGACCACCGGAGCATCCCACAGTACAACTGATGTCAGCAACCGTTTGCTGCAGTGGCTGCAGGCAAGACTTTTGTCCTCACGTCAAACATGAAACAGTCACAGACTGGAATGGTTCATCTGTAGTTGTATGCTGCAAGGTTCTCCGTACACTATTTCTCCCCACTTCTACTTTTGTAGCCAATCAGCAAATGGCTAAGATAATAATAATAATAAGAGCAGGCATTTATATAGCGCTCTTCCGCCGCAACAGGGTATCAAAGTGCTTTACAATTATTATTTTCCCTGTTTCAGCGGACAAACACTCCTGAAACCTTCTCAGCTCCCTGGGGAGTATACAGCTCGATGCTGCCTGTTGGGCGCAAGGGAGCTAAATCAACCACAATTACCATCTCTGCCCTCACAGGTACCCATCTACTCCTGGGTGGAGAGAAGCAATGAGTGATATAGTGCCTTGCCAAAGGGTACACGCACCATGACCCCAGGCAGGACTTGAACCCACAACCTGCAGAATTACCCACAGACCACAAATCCAATGCCCTTAACCACAAGCTCAAATTTAACAAACAGTCCTCAGGTGTATAATGGATTGTGTCTAAAAGAAAACAAAAAATATCCCCAATGTCCTTTTTCAGTAAAAGTTAAAACACGAGAAAAGAGTTTCACAAGAACATGAATATTTTCTGCAAGAGATGCAGTTCAATTTCTGCTTTCTGTTGCAGAATTATGATTGGTCAGGGTTTGAAGGAGTCTACAGAAGTGCACCAATCATGTTAAAGCACACAATGCTTATTAACACTTTCTTAGCCGACTGCTGATTGGTTAACCACTTTCAAAAAGAAAAAATACTATTACATGTATAAATTACTTATCCTCCTTTTAAAGGCATATAGGATCATTTTCATTGATCCAAAAAATCTGTCAAATTATGATGCAAAAGCTTACTTGGAATAAAGATTGTACTGGTGCTAAACACCCTGTCAAGTTATTCCATCTGGCTTGCCGTCATTGAGAAGAAAAAGAATCATGAAAAGTAGATGATTTCCAACGATCAGTCAGTTGACTGATTCTTGGAAAAAGTACTGCAGATGAAATTGTGTTTCGTGATCAAAAAGGTTGTGCATGGTTTTTTACTGTTTTCAGTGGTGTTATTATTGGAAACAAAAAAAATGCATGACTAGCAAATGATCCTAAATGCCTTTAAGTATACCTGCACTGTCAGATTTTAACGTTGACAAAAACTATACATGTAGAATTATTTACCGTATTTAAAACCAACTTGTTCTCTTTGATCTGAGGAATTTGTCAAGCTTTCAGCAAATCGCAATCTGGACATGATTCCTTGAATCCCCTCCAGTTGTGTGGTTGTTAGAAAACAATTACCTCATGGTTGCTTTGAGGTATCTGAATAAAACAAGCTCTGTCAACACCAAGCCATGTGTTTTTCTCCCCAATCACTTTGTTTTGCCCTGTTTGTGTCAACGTCATATTGAAAGCATGTGTGGCCAGCCACCACATGAAAGTTGGGGTCAGGGTTCCAGGGTTTTGGAAAGGGGTAAGACGAGGGTGCACTGCACCACATGACTTCGTGAACCATCCAAACTTTAGATTCCCATGTGACATTGTAGATGTCTGATACGATACGAGCAGTTCTGACTTTGCTCTAGTCTGGTAAACTGTCGTGCAACTTTTCCTGGGATCCGCTGATTTCCTCGTTTTGTACTTCTCGTGAATGCTGTTACAAATTGAACAAGCTCGGTCGGAAATATCTCGGAAGCTGCGGGCCAACTAGTTCGTGTACATGCAGGAGTCATATGATTGTGCCATGTAATTTCTGGAAGGAGTAGTGTTTTGAGTAGAAAATAGGGTTTTGACCCCAGCAACCCCATGATGACCTTTGACCCCAGTTTGGTCATGAGACATGTTGGGGCTGAGCTTCTGATACTTTTGACCAATTTTGGTAGAAATCGGTCAAAATGTGTAGGAGCAATAGACAATGTCAACGTTTGTTACTAACTAACGGACTAACGGAGAGACATGATGATTTGTTGAGCTGCTATCCCGCAGCTAAAAAATACTGAACAGAGTCTTACAAAAGTGTGGTTTGGAGTTTACTCGATTTTTCTAAATTCCTAGTTGCATGCCTGTGTAAATTTGCAGGAATGAGATTTTTTTTCAGACTTTGCTCTGAAATCAGACCTTTTGAATCTGAGAGGAAGACATTACCAGTATAGAAAGAAATTCATCTTTTATCTAATTTGCAGACTTTTTGAAATCGTCAGTGTCCCTAAATTTGAGAATCGAGATACTCGTGTACTGAGTTTCCGAACTTGGGAAAACATGCAAAACAAGAAAATGACACGCGTAACATGCCAAATACTTCACTTGTAGTGTACGAGTAAAGAGTATCAAAAGAATTATCTGTCGGGTTTTTTCCCCCAAAACTTCGGCCTCATTCCAGCTTGAACTTTAAAAAAATCAGGCCCAATATTGTTGTATGGGGAATCTGACTCCAATTAAGGACCATACTCTTCAAGAACATTAAGTCCTATAATTTGAAGTCAAAATATTTTGAGTTTTTTCTCGATCATTTTGACATCAAAGGCCACAACATGATTTTTGAGCGAGAGATTCGGCTGAAGACGAATCCATGATTTGGAAAATGCCTGTAGTCTCTGTATCTGTAAACATTTTCCTAGTCGTACCCCCAGACTTCTGCATGGTCCATCTGTTGTCAGAGTTGGACGTGCACCAGTCTACTCGAGCTTTTCAAATTTTAACGCAGGCATGCAACTTTTCGTCGGATCCGCTGATTTCCTTATTTTTTACTTTCATAATTTCATTACAAATTGAAAAAAAAAATGTACAAAGTCTTGTGTGGTTTCGAGTTCCCTCGTTTTTTCAAAATCCCCAGTTGAATACCTGTAAACGTCATTCTCGTGCAAAATGATAAATGAAAACGCTCCTTTAAAATTTGAATCCAAACCAAAAACTGGCTGCCGAAATTCAGAAGACTTGATGTTTTCAAGTGCCATTAAAACCTACACATTGTTGTCTCCATGCACCGCAGAAAACTTTTGGAATTCGACACTTGGGTTCCATTGAAAGGTATAATCCCTGAAGTATTGCGTGAAAGAAAACGAAAAGAAAAATGTGTTGACATAACCTAGCTGATCACTCAACAAAAATCTGCACATGGTGGGCCCTATGTTGTGTGAAATATGTGGCTGAAACACAAACAACATAGAGAACATTCAGCACCCACGCACTACTTAAAGGTACATATACAACATTTGTTTTTGCTGTAATTTCCAGAAATGGACGGATTTGGGGGTTAGTATTTTATAGCAAATGGGGCTTCCAATTCTGAGTATTTTGGATGCAATTGGGCTCGAAAGTGGCGCTATTTTGCCATGTTGTGGGAGGGATCGTTTTTCAAGATGGCTATAGGCTCGTTGCCATATCTCTTCAATTCTTCAATTTTATGGCTCTCAGAATGCTCTAATAAAGAATGTTTTGAGGGTATAACTTTTATTCATGAGCTCGGCGGATGGATTTTGGCCTATTTACAAGCACTTTCTCCCAACTCGCGTTTTTCCTCGAAAATATCCATCATTTCGAAGAAACTTGTCCCTCGTGCATTCTTACCTACCTTTTTACGACGCCTCGGTATGGATGAAACCGCTAGGCCAAAAACATATGTCAATCAACGCATCGTTTTAAAATGAAGATAAATAAGCAACATCAATGCCCGACGCATCATTTCTTGAATTTGAAACATCCGATTTTGAAAGATCTACCTCGAGTGAATCTAAAAACATGCAGGTGTATAGCTATAGGTACAATTTGGCCACAGTTAAAACTTGCATAGAGGAGCAAAACACACTTATCAAAGTTTCCGCCCGTAGCAGCAAAATTGTAATGAAGACATCCTGACCTAGCTTTGGCCTGCCTCTCGATGTGTATAGGTCTTTAAGATGTGGATGGCATTCAGAGGGTGCCAAAAGCTACCCGTGTGCCGAAGTCAACGGCAAGCATGCAGGGGACTGCTAGATATTATGCACGGCTGAAGAGGCTGAATCATCGGGCTATACCCTAGCCCGCCATGACGAAAACCGAAAAATAATATATGGCAGTTAAATCTCTTCTATATTTTCTGACGCACATGGCACGCATGGTTAAAGCTGATTGTTTAATACTTGCCCCGAGTCAGTCCCGTACATACGCACAGTGTGTTATTGTAACATAGTGATTACATGTAAAGAAAGCATCATGTGTGCAATATCACTGCAATGTTTATATTCTTAAGTAGTCCGGATCGCCTTAGATGTAGTAGAAATAAACATGCTGACGTGCTGTTCAGGGAAGCGCTAAATTTAGGTAAGTAAGAGGTAGTTTTGTAGGCCTATTTTCTGAGAATTGTAGCCTGTTTAATGTTTTTATTAGTGCAGATTTCGAACTTGGTCATGCTGATATGGGAATGCACAGTACATTGCCGGCCATGTTTCAGGGCCGCACCTGCATAGCTCTTTCAATTCCCCTTTATGTCGCAATTATTATTCTTCAAAGTTTTTTTTTTTGGGGGGGGGGGGAGTGAAAAATGTGTTAAACCGCCCTGAACTGATTCAAGGATATGCGGGAGGCCCGAATAATGCTTTGCGTGGGTGTCGTTCTCGATTTACCGTCAAGACCAGTCGTGAACGAGTTTCGGTTGTGCCAACCACGCAGAAAATATAACACCTGCACCGGACCGGGGTGCTTTTTATCCCGGTTGTTTTCATTTCTTTCATTGTTGATCTTTTCGAAAACCATGGGAGTCGCGCGGTCTTTTTTGTGTCTATGGCTTTACCAAAGCGATTTCAGATTAAAGGTAGACTTTCTGGCGTTTAAAGTGCAAGTTTGCACAAGTGAGTCTTATTTATGCATCAGTGGCAGCGCCACCAAGCGATAATCGACGAATGCCGATGGCAGAGCCAACAACGACATTAAATGACAGCAATGACATTATACTCACATTTAAAATGTAAATGTAATGGATCCCATTTGCAAAAAAAAGTGTAGGCCTATTTCTGTCGATTCAAGGAACAACAATAAAGGGCGAGTCAAAACTAGGAAACCCAAATGGTACCCCTATATGTTTTAAAGAATTCTGCTTGTATAGCGCTTTCTAGATCTAGGATCTGAAGCCAAAGTAATAAGCTTTCTTTTAGTGAAAGAATCAATCAAATTGCTCATGTACTTTTCCAGTTATGGAATTTTGGACACAATCTTGTCCACGGAAACTCTATCAAAAAAACATGAGAACACCCTCATAACCATGATGTTATACACTGGCACTTACAACATTTATCTAAAAACCTGCTGCTTTCAGATCCAATGTTAAAATAACATGCTTTACAATGTCAAGAGTTTATAGTCATGCCTTCTACTTGGCTACCCCAGGGACTTGTGGGATTATTTGGTTCGAGATCATTTTCTTTTTTTTTACGACATGGTTTCACTTTTACTGAAATAAGTAAATGTATAGGCCTACGTAGGTCCCGTGTGTTGTTTAATGCACGTTAAAGAACCCAGTAACACTTATTGCCAAGAGAAGGGGTTTGCCCCGGTGTTTCTGGCAGTGGCTGCAATATGCGCCGCAGCACCTTGTAAACCATTATAAAGGTGCTACATAATGGTTCTCATATTTCTCATGTACTTCATTTACCTGTCTCTAATAATAGACATAATTTCCAGCGCCTTGAGTACCTAATTGTTGGTAGATACGTGCGCTATATAAGACTTCGGTATTATTATTATTATTATTACGTATCTCCTTTGGGTTTCCGGTTTTTTTTTACCCTGTACAGTAAATCTAAAGCAGGTTCCTGTTTAAACCTACACAGTCAAAATTTCAGCTCATAATTTTTGACAAAACTGTGAAAATGCATCTTCCTTTTTTTCGACCCAAAGCTGGGTTTCCGTTTTATTCTCGTGATAGTTTGGTCCTACCCATCGCAAGGAATTGAAGGTCATTCAAAGACATATTTCCTTGAAAATGGCATACTATAGGCGCAATGATTTCGCAGGATGCTCGTTTCTTTTTTTGAATGTTTGCAAATTGTCTCCATGTACCTCGGACATAATTATATTGCTCTGCGTAAAAAAACATATCAAAATTTCATTCCGTCGGATACGATTTCGTCGGACACGACACGAATAATTACATACAACTTGACAAAAAAGATACTGTTACCATGGTGACGTTATCCAGCTGTTAAGCATTTTCTCTCGACTTAAAGAATAAAGAAAGCTTAAAGAATTTGGAGGCCCCCCCCCCCCAAAAAAAGGAGTTATTTATAACTGAAAAGAATCCTCTTCATCAGCTTTTACGTGAAATCACGTGATATTATTTCAATCGCGTGATATGTTTTCAAGCATGCGTATTATGGTGACTACATGTACTTGGCTGCAGAAGGATTACTTGTGCCATTGTAGGCCTAGTATAGAGGACGAAGAGTGGATATCTGCTTTGCTTTAGTTCTTTTCTTCACTGTTCTGGTTTTCGGCTAAACAAAAAAGTGGGTTTTATTAAAAGGCGGCCGAAAAGTGGCCAATTGCTTTTAACTAGATGAAGGGAGGCCCAGATCACCAACAGACCATAGCAGGCTGAGCTATATCATTATTCTCCCACCAAGTGAGAGAATTTCAAAATGAACGCTTACATTTCAGAGTTAGTTTTGCCTTAGAGTTGCATGCCAACCAAGATTTAGGTATATGGACATCATTAATTTTTACAAAAACGTGTGGCACGTGCGGTCTATAGGCGCTGGAGCACAGGCTTATGATGGTTAGGTTGTGGGTTCGAGCCCCGCCGTGGCCATGCGCGTTGGGCCTTTGAGTAAGGTCTCACCTCAATTATTATTCCTCTCAACCCAGGTGTTAAATGGGTACCGGCATTATTCAATGCTGGGAAGGTAACAGACTCGCTGTGGAGGAGGTGTGGCGATGCCCCCACAGCAGCATACCAGTCCGGCAATCGCTAACGAAATTCTGATCATGTGAACACACCTTTACCTTTACTTTTTTTTACAAAAACGTGTATTTTGCCGATTTAAGGAGCAAGAACACAAAAGCTTTAATTGAAGAATATCTGTCAACATCATCAGCTCAGCAGATACACTTTTTGAAGAAAAGGTTACTCCGAAAATGTGTGTTCATATTTTTTTTCACGATGCAAAGCTAGGTTTCCGTTGAAAGCCATCCCGGAAAGACGTTTTGACCGTTCTTGCAGCTATGATCCCTATATAGTTTTCCATGCACTTGGGAAAATAATTCTCATTCACGGATTATGTAACCGATTGCAAATTAAACAATTTTTGGAGCAGTGTTTGGAGTAAAGTGTTTTTTTCGGGATGGTTTGGTTTGGCGAGAAAACGTGGTAGGCCTCTTTTCTCGAAAATAAAGGCATAAGGCGCAATTAGGCCTATTCCACAGGATGAATGCTTGATGCTACTAAAATAAGTGCGGTCAATGAGGATATTTCATATTTTGTCAGCAAATGGTGTCAATTACCTTGAACCTATGATTAACGTCCTTTCTTTTTTGGTGAGAAAGGAACGTCATCTTTTAGTAAGCAGTTGCGATGGTGATAGATAAGCATTTTAGCCAAGTTGTAATTGATGACAGATCGCTTATTTGTTTTATAAAAAACGCCTGGTTGGCCTTCTCACGAAAATCCTTGAAAATGGTGGTTGGGGCGCCCCCTACCGGCCATCTCGCCAGTCTGGCACAAAACCACAGATTTTGCTTGAAAGAAATCTCTATTTATTAATTGAGGTACAATATTGACGATTAGAACTTGGAGGGAAAAAAAGAAGGGCTGTGACTGATCTGCTCCATTGAACAGAGGATCAAAGTCTAAAGAAAACTCACAATGTAATGGGGATATCACAACAACAGGTGTCATGTGTAGTGCCATAATCATGCTATCCTCTTGGGAACGAGTGAAATTTATATTTTCGCACGCCTAGCTTGCTCTTGATTAGGTTGAAGATGGCAGCGGGAGACAAGCACAAAAATGCACCAAAGGACCATACAAAACACACAAACTTCAACTTTGTTGCCACTTTAATCTGATTTTACGCTCGAGAAAGCAAGAAAAATCACCAAATCCGCACCAATGACCATGCATGACGCACAACGCTATCGGATAACAGTGGCAAAAAGTTGAGGACATGGTGGGGAAAAAAGGATATAACTTTCACGCGGCATGAGGTCAAATGCGCTAATACCACCATTCACCCGTGAACAATTAAAGTAGCTGAATATGTGTAAAAGTATACAATTTAATTCTTAATGGTTTTGATTCTCGGAGGAGGAGACCAGGGTCAAAGTTTTTACGGCGAGAGGGAGGCAGCAGCGGAATGGACTTCGGCGAGTCGGGCAGCATCCCGCGGATGTCCGTCTCCCAAGTCTTGGAGAGGCAGGGTCAAGGCAACGAGAACTACCGCTGGTTCGTGGAGGTGACGAATCTATCGGACCGTGTGGTGCTTCAAGTTGCCGGTAAGTTGATTGAAGTTGGACAAAACATGGCAGAAGAGATTAATAATGCTTCCATAAGCAGACGATCATTCGACTCGACTGTTTACCAACTTTGTAACCTTTTGACCCCGCCCCCAGTTTTGTATGCGGAGTTCTACACGTGTGTTCCGGAACACACAGACGGCTCCAAAATCTACGGTAACTTTTATCAATAAAAGCATGAATTGAATCGTAGGCCCAACCCAAATGCCTCACAATGGTTATGGTAATTAGGGAAGTCATAGCCGAGACCGTTGTATAAATACACAATGACAGGAGTTAAAATACCCTCGGAGAGCCGGTAGCCACGGTTGGTTGAATGCGTGATAAATGACGGTAAATCCGACTGCTCTGTGGTTTGTGTGGGTGTGTAAAAAAACACCGCAGGACCAACAACACAAGAGACCACTCGGCGCAGACGAACCCTGGGAGCAACTGGGGCAAGTCGGCCCGGCTATCGCTACGAACTCAAGTCCGAGAAAGCCAGTTTCCGGGGTGGCATTGAAGCTGTCATTTCTGCCCTGAACTGCGAACAGCTTCAGGACTTTAGTGTCGAGTTACTGCCGAGACGCAAGTTTTCCCAGAACTGAGTTTTATTTTGCAAGTTTATCGTGAGATGATGACTCTAGGCACGTGTTGATTTTTTGGGGAAAAAACAAAAATGGCCGACCACGAGCAAGAGAAAGATTCAGTCTTCGAGCGAACCATTCACACCGCCAAAGGTTAGTCGCTTTTGCTGAATGAGTGCCATTATAAAATTCTCTATGGTTCTTTGTGATAGCTGTTTGGAAGAAGTGACAAATGGAGTATTGTTTAGGGCCTTCAAAATGTCTATTTTAGAACTTAGAAGGGGGTACGGTGTGCATCCATATTTTTTTTTTAACACCACCAGTTGCCATGGAGCAAAGGATGGTTGTCTGTCTTACGTAATGACACCATCGACAATCCGCGGGTAGAATGCAATATCCTGACGCAAAATATTTTTCACTATAACCCCAAATGAAGGTGAGTTATTGCCAAAGACGGGGGTGTGAAACCTCAGCTTTAAAGCTGATTTCAGCTTTTTTTTGTTTTGGATTTCAGCTTTTTTCCCTCACTTGCTGTGTACAAAAGTATAGGAGATTTCCAAAGTTCAGCTTTTTTTTTTACACCTTTTTCAGCTGTTTTCAGCTATTTTTTATCAGTGGTTACTCACACCCCTGCAAAGAAAACGAGGGGGAAAGAATGTTGAATGTGCTTTTTCAAAGAATTTTCTTACAAATTGAAAATGTTCAGTCCCAGCCAGATTCACGTCTTTTCAACATTTTGCAATAACTGACCTTCTTCATTGATGAAAAAGTGGCGTCAGGATGTAACATTCTTTCCCATGTTGAAAAACATGAATCTGAGTCTGAGAAACATTTCCAATTTTTGTTAAAAAAGAAAAATACTTTGAAAATGCATTCATCAAGAACATTTTCAAACTATATTTTCTGACAAAACTGGAAATAATTATTTCATATCATGCTTTTCAACATTTTTGCAGTAACTGACTGCCATTGAGAATTTGAGATGATATAGGGCCTACAAAAGTGGTATCAGGATGCAACAGTCTTTCCAAAATGTCCATCATTGACTCGATCTTCATCATAGACTTTGTGCACAATCAAAAAGTAATGTGTTATTGTTACTTAGAATGTTCAACTTGTTGTAGACATCCGACTGGAGTACTGGGGGATAGGTACTTCTTTGGAAAGAATGTAGTATCCAGACAGTTCATCCAGACGTGTCAGTTCTATGGTTGTGTACAAAGTATATGGAGAGTTGAGTGCTTTTTCAAAGTATTTTTTAACAAAATTGGAAATGTTTCTCATTCCCAGATTCATGTCTTTTCAACATTTTTGTAATGATGGCTGACCCCGTCGGGATGCAAACATTCTTTCCCTTTCGTTAATCTTAAACTTTAGACTTTAATTTCAGTAAGGTTATAGTTTCTGGGTGAAAGAGCTCCTTATTACATCATATTTCTAGGAAAAAAGCAATGTACTGGGTGTGTGTTTATAGCTCCATGGTTTTACTAGTTAACAACACACATGGTTCATGGCATGATCGTTTCAAACAGCTCGACGTCGGTCAACTCCACTTGAACCAACTCGACCTCTTGCCCATTGTTGCAACTCAACTGCTGTTTGTTCAACTTGAAAGACAAGTTGTCCATTAAGAATTGTCCATTTTGACGTCTCGACTTTCTGTTGTACACAGTTTACACATGAAATCATTTACAGACAGTAGTTCAAGCTCAAAGCTTACAAATTTACCAATTTTTAAGGTAAACTCTTTAACCTACACATATATAGTATGCATTGTTCTTTAACCCTCCTTAGCAAACATACATTCTGTGCCAAGTTGACTTTACCTTAATGCCCAGATCTGAAGCAATTTTCAAATTTGGCTGCAAATGTATTTGTTTAAAAATGTCCAATTATTAATGATCACTAAACTTAAAATTTCTCCATCTTTGGTCAGAAACAAGTAAACCTGCTAAATTTGTGATGCTGCTAACTGTTTTGTTTTGACTGACACTGAACAAGTACCCAAAACTATGCCGCTGTTTTCAGAAGTGAAAGGTTACAGGAAGCTTAGGGTTACAAGAAGCTTGGTAAAAAGTACAAGTGTATGACTGTTTTTTTTGAAACAATTGTTGGGTAAAGCTGAACTCTTCAACTAATAGTTTCAGTCCCTGACCTTCAAGAGATAGGACGCAATTGAAGATATTTTTTTTTGGATAAAGATGAAGACTTCCTTTCAACAACTACTTTTACACTTTTGGAACCACAACGTTATGTACTATGTACATGTATGTACATGACCATACGTACATGTGGATAGTGTCCTTGGGTCCACTCCCATCCCACTTACCTCCCATTGACCTGTGCAGGTTGATTAGGGGTGTGGGTATATTACAGTGCGCAGCGGATCCTGCGTGGGCCCATTTGAATACGGATTACGTTGGCCATTCTTCTCTCTCAAGAAGTATCCCATTGTACCTTGAAAGGGTATCCAAATAGTCGGGTCAAAGACCTGGGACTGGCGCAAACAAATAAAACCTTTCAACCTGACCCACCGTAGGAGACTGGTAGAAAAATTGTGCAGAAGGCCTATTCAAAAGTACAAGGGCATTTCCAGCATTAATTATGAAAGCCGTATCGGATCCAGACCCCCCCCCCTCCTATTTCTCACAGTTTATATTAAAACAAATTGTTTTGGAGGTTCTTCGTGTCTTTTGCCCCCCAGTTTCTTCTTCTGTCAACTGGTTATTTACAATGTAATCACTTCAAAGATGGAAATTGTCACCCACATTGCCCGTCTTGTACGGTGTGTTCAGGTTTTGCCTCCATTCAGGTTTTGCCTCCATTTGTGGCGCCCTCCCTTTCCGTAAATACTGGATCCGCCACTGGAAAGGAAATGTAATGTCCGTGACAGAGCCAATTAACCATTCAGAGAAATTATCAAAAATTCCTTACAACGTGTCTGTTATCTCTTTGATTAGGCCCTACATGTAGATGATGCTTTACAGAGATGTATCGAGCACTGTGAATTGTGATACATGTAGAAGACAATTTCATCGGATACATAGTGACCCTACATAGATCCTTTCTGTTTACCCCTCCACTTATAACACAGAGTGGGTTGTGTAAACTAATTCAATATCCACAAAGAGAAGACGTTATTGAAGTGGCACAAATTTCAACTGCATTTGTTCTTAAATTTCAAGAAATATTTAGGAAAAACCTGAACTGCATGCATGTATCATTATAAAAATGATCTTTTGACGCTACATTTGGATTTTGTCTGGAACCTATTCATTGTTGCTACTAGGAATCGATTCCTAAAAAAAACCCTGTGGAATCACGATTTTAATTTCAACTTCTGGATCGATTCTATTTGATCTGACCTAGAACTGCCCAAGCCTAAAGTTCCCTGCAGCAAAAACCCTATGTTTTACTTATTAATGCTCTGTCAATTGTAAGACAGTCCCTGTGACACCCCCCCCCTCCACAGTGCATCAAGAGTGCCCCATGGCTCAATCATGGCTGTGACAGAGGGGAGCATCAAGTAGTGATTTTATGTGTCAAACCATTTTTATGGGATGCATCACTTTTCCTCAGTATTAATTAGGTCTACAATCTGTTCCTACATGTAAGTATACATTAACCCTAACCCTGCCAGACGCAGCACAGTGCATCAGGTGGAAAAGAACTGGTGCACTTTGATGCGTTCAGCTACCAACACCAGTGCATGAATGGCCAGCTCTGAAACCATGAGAGCTAAGTCCCATGAAACAATGCCCCAGTTGTATCCTGCTGCATGCGGTGACCACCGACTCTGAGGCAGTGTGGCCTTGAGACTTTTCCCCTGATGGATCTTGCTACACTGGGCAGGCTTGTCACTTAGTCAAGTGTTGCATGTTGCTACGTTTGGCAGGGTTCTAGCAAACATACCCTGGAGGGTTAGGGTTAATTAGGCCTACAATCTGTTAAAGGTACATGTACGAGGGTAAAAAATGTTGCTAAATGTCTAAATAAAATGTTGATATCGAAAGTGTACATTTGGTGTGTCACTATTCTGACACAGTGCGGGGGTGTGTAAAGGATGACCCACTGTTGGTTGGACAGTGACACCATTCGCAGGTTTCATGAGGTGTGTCATACCTGTACAGTTGATGGGTGCACAATCATTCCCATGTGAATCCAAATTCAATTTACCAGTCAGCAGTAAATTATGCATTCCAATCTATTCATTTCCAGCTAGTCTCATTCATTGCCTGTATTTAAACATGAAAGGTAGAGTGTTGCAAGCAGAGTGCAGTGACTTTCCAATTCCTGGTGCTGTATAGCAGGCAGCTATTATACAACAATGAGTTTTTCTGTGGGCAACGATGTCTAAACCTGCTTGATTTACTCCTTCGAATACTTTTTGTCTATTTTTTTTGTAGTGGGATTCATTAGCCGCACAATGGCTTTTACTTGAATGAGTGGTCTGTTGTGGCAATACTAAGCTTGCCTTTTTAGCACAGGTTGTCAATTTGTGGTATTGGGTAAGCTCTTAGGGGTCCAGACCCATAAATAACATAAATTCCCAAAGTACTCCCACTTCGGCAATTGTGAAAAAAAAATCATCTCTCCAAGGTGTTCAAGACACCCACACATCAAATGAAAGCTTGAATGAACCCTTTTCCACTTTTTGGGGATTGGCAACTTTTTGAGGATTGCCATGAGTTATGGGTGACGGCAACCACTAAAAAGAAGTTCTAAAGTCCATGGCTATTTTGAAAATTGTCTTCTACCGGTGCATGTACTCCATTGAAAATAAGAGCAACTTTTCGGTCCAACATCATCCAAATTTTCTCAGAAATTTAAGTTCCTTGCTACCAACCCTATAATTTAAGGGCCACAAAAAGTCTCAGTTAAAAGAAATTGGAAGGGCATACAAATGGTGATAGGGTCGGCGTAGGAAATTTTTGGACTTTTTTTTACTAGTCTGCATCCTAGAGGCTGGTTCACGGTCAAATGATCGCGTGACTGAAAGATTGACGCGAGAATTTTGGCTAGCATTAGCGACGCTTGATCTTCGCACTTCACAGTGCAGGGGCTCTGGAGCGGGTCGGCGTGCTGACGCTGACGTACCTTGCTGAAGCCTTTTCATTTCATAAGCCTGTAATGTATTCAATACAGCACATCTT